ACACATACACATACACATACACATACACATACACATACACATACACATACACATACACATACACATACACATACACATACACATACACATACACATACACATACACACACAACACTCCTATCATATAAACACAATAATTTAGAGATACTTTGTAAACGATAAATATTACAAAACGGGTGGACCAGTATTTTTGCTGGTAGACGGCGAAAATGAGGCCAACGATTATTTTATAACATTGGGTGCCTGTGCCAGGTATGCCGAAAAATTTAACGCACTAACAGTAGATCTTGAGCACCGATACTATGGTCAATCGGTACCGACTGAGGACCTATCAGTGGATAATTTACAATACCTGACCGTTGAACAGGCGCTCAAAGATATTGAACAGTTTGTCGGATATATGAATAGAAAGTTATCACTGAATACTAAAAATACAAAATGGATAGCATTTGGCGGATCGTATGCTGGAAATCTGGTCGCCTGGCTTCGGGAAAAATACCCGCAAGCAGTGGCCGGTTCGGTGGCCAGTAGTGCACCGGTTGAGGCGCGCTATGATTTTAAAGAGTATTTTGGCGGTGTTAGCCATGTGTTGGGCGCCGACTGCACTAATCAGATCAGGTATGTATGTGTATGTGTATGTGTATGTGTATGTGTATGTGTATGTGTATGTGTATGTGTATGTGTATGTGTATGTGTATGTAAAATGCTAAACATTTATAAATTATAGTGTAATTTACCTTGATGATGATTTACTGATGATGATATCCCTTTATAGTGAGGCTGTCCATCAATTGGATGACCAGTTGAAAACAACACCACCAGAGGAGGGCTGGCATACCATTGACAAATTGTTTAATTTGTGTACACCATTGATGGGTACCGACTTAAATACAGTACACAGCCTAAAGTTAAGTTTGATTATAACGTTTGGTGTGGCCGCACAATATAATAGCCGACCCGGTACACTGGGTATTGATCAGGCATGTAGTTTGATGATGACTACCACCAACGATACTGGTGTTGTTGGGTCGACAACACCAACAACAACACCGTTAAAAAGGTTGGCAACAGTCCAGTCTAAGTACAATTCAATACATTTGGATAATTGTGTAGACTATGACTACAATAAGTCAATTAATGACTTAAAACAAACGTCAAAAACAGCGACAAAAGTCAAATCCGGTGGTAAGTGTTATACAAAAAAAAATTTTAATTAAAATTTTTAATTAATAAATTTATAATAATAATTAATAAAAGATACTATATTTATAAAAATAATATATTTATAAAAAAATACTATATTTTTAAAAATACTATATTTATAAAAAATACTATATTTATAAAAATACTATATTTATAAAAAATACTATAGTTATAAAAATACTATATTTATAAAAATAATATATTTATAAATTATATTGTTTAAAAAAACAAACAATTTTAGTACACAACTATTGTTTATTTATTAATTAATTTTGAATAAATATATATATACTGTATATATTGTTTAGTACGTCAATGGTTTTACCAGGCATGCACCCAGTTAGGTTTTTTTGTGACCACTGACCTAGCGGACAGTCCCTTCGGCAACCAATCCGTACCCATTGATTACTATCAGAAATGGTGTGCCGCTATTTACGGTCCATATATTACCGGGGAGTTTATCCAGACTCGGGTCAACCGTACTAATGCCAACTATGGTGGCCTGAATCCAGGGTCGGACCTAACAAACGTTGTGTTTGTTAACGGAGCTGTCGATCCCTATCATGTACTGAGTATAGTCAACGACCTAAACAACAACAATCAGTCTATACGAGCTATACTAATGAACAGTACCTCTCACGGGACGGATATGTTAGGCCCGTTGGCCAGTGATTCACAGGAACTGATCGACGGACGGCTGGCCATCGAAAAACAAATACAATTGTTTTTGAAGTAAATGTTATTTTATTAATTATAAATTAAATTAAGTTTTTAGTTAAATATTTAGATTATAAGTACTTTAATAATACTGTATTAAAATAATAATACTCTCAATAAAAATTATACAATTTATTATATAATATATAAAAAAAATAATTACTAAATATTTATTTTATAATTATGATTATTGACTGATTTTTTTTAAAAAAATAAAAAATATTAATATATATATAATAAAGATTATACCTATATATTGTAAATTGTTTTTTATACATAATTTTTTTTAATATAAAGTATATCTCAATCATTTAGATAAATTGTTTGGAAATTTTAGTAAAGGAAAAAAAACTATAAAAAATTGATAATTTAAAAAAAACGTTTTTAAATATAATTATTTTTAAGTTCAACAAGATAAATTGCACTGTATAATAATAAAACAAAACACTTAACCTAGATAAACTGATTATATTGAATTTATAAATATATATATATATATATAGCATATATATATTATAAAAAATATTAAAGTTATTTTTAAATTATTATTATTATTAATTGTACATTAAGCATTTAATTTTATTTAATAGTATAATAATTTAGTACTAAAAAAATAATTATAAGAATTATTATAATAAATATTATTAAACAATAAAATAAATAAATAATAATGAATTTTACAATATTTCTATTGAATGGCCTATTATTGTTGTTGTTGTTCAGCATAAGCACCTGTATTAGTGATGAAAATACTAGACTACTAGTAATTGGTGATCAACCGATGCTACCCAAGTATAATAGTATGTTTCAATTGCCAATTGCCGACAAATATGTTAATACATTACCCGATAATTGGTTTGACCAACGAGTCGATCACTTTAACACTAGCGATACCCGTACTTACAAACAGGTAATTGTGTTATTATTTATATATATTATTAATACTTATAATATTATAATTATAATATATTACTATATTATATTTTAATTATATATATTTTTACTTATATATTAATTATTATTAATTATTATATATTTATTATAATTATATAATTTTATTATTATTATAATAATATTATTGAATTATATATTGAATTATAATATAATAATAATTAATTGATTTTTTGCTTATTTCAAACACTACTAACATACACACACACACACACACACACACACACACACACACACACACACACACACACACACACACACACACACACAATAATAGCGTTACTTTATAAACAATAAATTTTACAAAACTGGTGGACCAGTATTTCTAATGTTGGACGGAGAAGCTGAAGGAACTGACTATTTTGCAACTGCCGGTGCAATGGCCCGGTATGCCCAACGATTTGGTGCATTAGCTGTAGAACTGGAACATCGATTCTATGGCCAGTCGATACCGACCGAGGATCTATCGGTTGATAATTTGCGATACCTGACCGTTGAACAGGCACTCAAAGATACAGATGAATTTATCCGGTATTTGAACGGAAAGTTATCGCTGAACAGTACGAGTAAATGGATAGTATTTGGCGGTTCGTATTCGGGATCATTGGCCGCCTGGTTTCGTGAGAAATATCCGCATTCAGTGGCCGGTTCGGTGGCCAGTAGTGCACCGGTTGATGCACTCTATGAGTTCAAAGACTATTTTGGTGACGGCAAACTGTTTGGCACCGATTGCACCGATCAGATCAGGTATGGACAATAGTAGTAGTAATAGTAGTAGTAGTGGTAGTAGTAGTGGTAGTAGTAGTAGTAATAGTAGTAATAGTAGTAATAGTAGTAATAGTAGTAGTAGTAGTAGTAGTAGTAGTAGTAGTAGTAGTGGTGGTGGTAGTAGTGGTAGTGGTTGTGGTAGTGGTTGTGGTAGTTGTAGTGGTAGTAGTAGTAGAAGTAGTAATAGTAGTAGTAGTAGTAGTATATACACAAAAAATAATTATCTATTATCTATTTTGGATAACATAGAGAAGCTGTTCGCCAATTGTATGATCAATTGAAGACACCGGAGGGCTGTCAGGCCATTAGCAAACAATTCAATTTGTGTACGCCATTGAACGGGACAGTTATGGATTCGGTACACGCCATGATGCTAGCATTGGTCGGACCGTTTGGTGTGGCCGCACAATACGATGGCCGGCCAGGTATACTAGGGCTGCGTGAAGTTTGCTCAGTGATGACCAACCGGTCGACACCCATACCATTGGACCGGTGGGCGAAATTGAGGAAACAGTTTGCCAGTGGTCGGTGTATTGATCACGACTACAATCATAGTATCGATGGTATGAGAAATACATCAAAAACATCGCCTTTTGTTAAAACTGGCGGTAAGTGTTAGATAATAATAATAATATTTCAAAAATTGTCATCAATATTATTATTATTATTATTATTATTATTATTATTATATGATATGTTATTATTATTATTATTACATTATATTTAGTAAAATCTATTTTATATTTTTTACTTAAAAAACCTATTATAATATAGTAATTGTATAAAATTATATTATGATAAGTATATCTGTATTTATTTAATATAATTCAATATAATTACAATAATTTATTATAATATCTAAAATAATATATATATTTATATATTAATATATAGATCGCCAATGGTTTTACCAAATGTGCGCTGAGTTTGGCTTTTTTATGACCACTGGCCTCGAGGACAGTCCGTTCGGCTATAACTCGATTCCGTTGGAATTTTTTACTAAACAATGTATGGATATCTATGGCAAACAGTTTAGCCCAGAGTTCATACAGACGGCCGTTAATAGGACTAACCGTTTATATGGAGGTTTCAAACCGGACGTCACTAATGTTGTGTTTCCTAACGGTGCTGTCGATCCGTGGCATTTGAGAAGTGTATTGTCGGATCTGAATCCGACTACCCGTGCTATTTACATGAAAAGTACATCCCATGGGGCAGATATGTTGCAACCGTTTCCCAATGATCCCAAGGAGCTGACCGATGCCCGGCTGGCTATTGAAAAACAGTTGCAATTGTTTTTGCAATAAAATAAGTTGAATATAATATCAATACTATAATAACTTATTATAGTAGTAATAATTTATAATTTAAATATAATTATACATATAAATCAATTTTATATATATACAGTATCTAATGTTTCTATATATTATTATAATATTTAGTAACAATATTTGTTATATAAAAGTTTTTGTAATTTGTAATAAATTAATTTTTTTAACAAAAAATAATAATTTTATTTTTAATTATATTAATAATAATAAATTGAGTAAAAAAACAAGATAATTAATATAATATAATTTTCTAATTACTTGATGATTATTAATATAATATAATATATATTATAACAATATTTAAAACTTTTTATTTAAATACTTATAGAGTATAGTAATAAAACTGAAAAAAACTATTAATACTTATAGAGTTTCAATTTCCTCAACAATATTATAAATTATTTATTGAAAAAAAAGTTTTAAAGTTATCATCATTTTTTATTATTGATAGTTACAATTATATAACAAAAAAAATATTTAGCATAAAAATAGCAAAAATAATGCTTAAAAAACAAATGTGTTAAATATATATATTTTTAATATTCAATATAAATACTATAAAAATTATATTATTAATGATATTGTTATTATTAAGATTATTGTATTAATGACATAATACAAAATATAATATCAAATATTAAATAAAAATAAAGTAAATATCTATTTATATATTATATATTGAAATTATTATTATATAATTTAATAATATATGATATTTTATTTTTGTAATCCCAGATATCTGAAGTAGTTTTATTTTAATAGATAAATTGTGAAATTTTTTATTAAAAAAATAATTAGATAATAAAAAATAAGTTTATTATTATTAATAATAATAATAATAATAATAATAATAAATTAAGTGCAACAAGGTTAATCAATGGATACTAATCTAATAGACCAGTATGAAACTACTTAACCTAGATAAACTGATTATATATTCAATATATATATATATATATATAAATAATTGGTAATTATTTTTTTTTGTATTATTTAATTGTACATGGTACATTAATCCTTTAATAAGTATTATAATATAATATAAAAATTTAAAAAAATAATAATAACTATTATTAATAAATAATAATGAAATTAACAATATTTCTATTGAACGCCTTATTGCTGTATTACAGCACCTGTATTAGTGCAAATAGACTACCATCAGTTGGTAATAGTCGACCCGTACACAGGTATGGTATGGGTCGGTGGTGGCGGATACCCATTCCCGACAATCATATCCAAACATTGCCAGACAATTGGTTTGACCACCAACTAGTGGATCACTTTAACACTAGCGATACCCGTACTTTCAAACAGGTAATTGTGTTATATATATATCATTAATAATGTTAATAATAATTAATTGAATTTTTTAAAAAATTTCAAACACTACTAACACACACACACACACACACACACACACACACACACACACACACACAAACACACACAATAATAATAGCGTTACTTTATAAACAATAAATATTACAAAACTGGTGGACCAGTGTTTCTAATGTTGGACGGAGAAGCTGAAGGAACTGACTATTTTGCAACTGCCGGTGCAATGGCCCGGTATGCCCAACGATTTGGTGCATTAGCTATAGAACTGGAACACCGATTCTATGGCCAGTCGGTACCGACCGAGGATCTATCGGTCGATAATTTGCGATACCTGACCGTCGAACAGGCGCTCAAAGACACGGATGAGTTTATCAAGTTTGCTAACAAACATCTATCGTTGGACAGTAGTAGTAGTAAATGGATAGTATTTGGTGGATCATATTCGGGAAATCTGGCCGCTTGGTTTCGGGAAAGATATCCGCACGTAGTGGCCGGTTCGGTGGCCAGTAGTGCACCGGTTAATGCTGTCTACGAGTTTCAGGGATATTTTACGGGTGTTAGCCAATCGTTGGGCACCGAGTGTACCAATCAGATCAGGTATGTGTGTGTGTCTGAATGTATGTGTGTGTATATATGTGTGTATATGTGTGTGTCTGAATGTATGTGTGTGTATATATGTGTGTATATGTGTGTATATGTGTGTATATGTGTGTATATGTGTGTATATGTGTGTATATGTGTGTATATGTGTGTGTCTGATTGTATGTGTGTGTCTGATTGTATGTGTGTGTCTGATTGTATATGTGTGTATATGTGTGTATATGTGTGTATATGTGTGTATATGTGTGTGTATATATGTGTATATGTGTGTATATGTGTGTATATGAGTGTATATGTATGTATATGTGTGTATATTAATAATTTTTTTTGTGGATAATATAGAGAAGCTGTTCGCCAATTGTATGATCAGTTGAAGACACCGGAGGGCTGTCAGGCCATTAGCAAACTGTTCAATTTGTGTACGCCATTGAATGGGACAGCCGTCGATATCGATTCACTGCACAATATGATGATCCAGTTGTTGGCAGCGTTTGGTGTGGCCGCACAATACGATGGCCGGCCATATACAATGGGTGTCAGTGAGGTATGTGCAATCATGACCACCACCACCAACGATACTACTGGGTCGACACCATTGGACAGATGGGCCAAATTGAGTGCTAAATATAGCAAAGGTCAGTGTGTGGCCCACGACTACAATGAAAGTATTAAAGATCTGAAAAATACATCAAAAACATCCCCATCGGTAAAAGCCGGCGGTAAGTGTGATATACAACTGTATTAAACTATAGTATAATAATTATAATAATTTTTAAATTAATATTATAATAGTTTTTTAAATTAATATTATAATAGTTTTTTAAATTAATATTATATTTATAATTATAATTAACATTAAAATATACTATAAATAGGAAATTAATATTTAACTGTTTGTGTTTTTTTTCTATAAATAAAAGTTAAAATAAAAATAATTATAATTTTGTACTAAATTAAGATAATATTTATTTTTTGTTTAATCAGTGAGACAATGGTATTACCAAATGTGCGCTGAGTTAGGCTTATTTATGACCACTGGCCTCGAGGACAGTCCGTTCGGACAAAACTCGATTCCATTAGAATTTTTTACTAAACAATGTGTGGATATCTATGGCAAACAGTTTAGCCCTGAGTTCATACAGACGGCCGTTAACAGGACTAACCGTTTGTACGGCGGTTTCAAACCGGACGTTACAAACGTTGTGTTTACTAACGGTGCTGTCGATCCGTGGCATGCGTTGAGTGTATTGACGGACTTGAATCCGACTACCCGTGCTATTTACATGAATAGTACATCCCATGGGGCAGATATGTTGCAATCGCTACCCAATGATCCCCAGGAGCTGACCGATGCCCGGCTGGCCATTGAAAAACAGTTGCAATTGTTTTTGCAATAAAATAAATAATTGGTTATAATTATAATAATAATATAATAGTAATAATAATTAATTGAAATATACTTTAATTTATATTATTATTATTTTTGTTGTTGTTATTAACTGTTATATATTGTGTGTATATATAGATATTACTTAGATTGACATTACATTTGTTTTATAATTTAGTTATTTAATAAAAATCATATTATTATAAATATATATTAAATAGCAAATATTAAAACATATTATTATTTCAATTTTGTAATCACTGGTTAAATATATGATTAAATTATATTATAAGTACTTATAATTTAGTAATAAACATATTTTTTTATAAACTAATTAATTTATTAGTAAAATAATATAAAAAATTATAGACAATAAGCTAAGTTATTAATTAATAAATGATTTTAAATGTTATAACATTTTTTATTTTGTATAAATTAATATTTATTTTCCTCAAGTATTTAAAACTAAAAAAAAATTGTTAATTAATTTTTTTTCATAAAATTGTTGTAACTTTTTTTTAATAATATCTTTTAGTTAATTTAACAATAATAATAAAATAAATTTATTAATGAAATTGAAAACTAAATGATAATAAAAAAAAGATTATAATTAAGTTAAGTGCTTAATAAAAATTAATTCAATCAATTAATTCAATACAATCAATATGTAGTAATAGTACATTAAGGTCCACTTACCCTAAATAAACTGATAAAATAACAATTATAAAAAAAAATAGATAAACAATACATGTATATAAATAGATATCCCATAACATAATAAAAATATAACTTTATAGTAATTATTAAAAAAAAATTTTAGTTACTTTTTAGTTATTAAAAAAATAATAATAATAAAAAACTAATACTAATATAATTAAAAAATGAAAATATTTATATTGAATACTCTAATAACTTTATACACACTATTATACACCGGCACCTGTATTAGTGCTAATAATAATAATAATAGACAACTATTTGCTACCCGACCAGTACTACGACCACCCATTGGCGACAATTATGTCAATACATTACCGGATAATTGGTTTGACCAACGAGTGGATCATTTTAACACTAGCGATATCCGTACTTTCAAACAGGTAATTGTGTTAATTAATTATATATATATAAATTTATTATATATAAATATATAAATTTATTATATATAAATATATAAATTTATTATATATAAATATATAAATTTATTATATATAAATATATAAATTTATTATATATAAATATATAAATTTATTATATATAAATATATAAATTTATTATATATAAATATATAAATTTATTATATATAAATATATAAATTTATTTAATAAAATATCCCATTAATACTGTAAATATTAATTTATTGTTTTTTCAAATAATCCTATTAAACAAAACAAATAAAAAACTACTAACACACACACACACACACACACACACACACACACACACACACACACAACAATAGCGATATTTTATAAACTATAAATACTACAAAACGGGTGGACCGGTATTTCTAATGTTGGACGGGGAGTCAGAGGCCAGCGATTTTTTTATAACCCAGGGTGGTGTGGCCAAGTATGCTGAAAAATTTAACGCAATGACCGTAGACCTCGAGCATCGATTCTATGGTAAATCGATGCCTACGGAAGATCTATCCACCGAAAATCTGAGATACCTGTCCATCAAACAGGCACTCAAAGATACGGAACAGTTTATCGATTATTTAAATAAGAAACTATCACTTATTAATACTAAATGGATAGTATTTGGCGGATCGTATGCCGGAGCACTGGCCGCTTTGTTCCGGGAAAAATACCCGCATTCAGTAGCCGGTGCTGTGGCCAGTAGTGCAACAGTTAATTCAATATACGATTGTAAACAATATTTCGGTGTTGTTAGCCAATCGTTGGGCTCGGAGTGCTCCAAACAGATCAGGTATGCTATTGTTAAACTCAATTGTGGGGCTATTAATATAAAAACATAACATCACTACCACTGGTATAGTCTGGCTGTCCATCAATTAGAAGATCAGATGAAATCCATAAAAGGTTGGCAAACAATTGGCAAACAATTCAATCTGTGTCAGCCATTGGACGGTACAGATCCGGGTTCCGTACATCAGATGCTCTATTCGTTGGCCATACCGTTTGCAGTGGCCGCACAATATAACGGTACAACTGATCTGGGTATCCGTCAGGTATGCGCAGTGATGACCAACTATACTTCGATGACACCGTTAGACAGATATGCAAAAGTACAGTCACTGTTCCTCAGAGGCCAGTGTCTGGATTGTGATTATAATAAGTACGTTAAAAGGATGAAAAATACGACATCGGATGTCCAATCCATGGGTATGGGCTATAAAAATGTTAAATAATAATCACTTGGTTTTTGTACCGTTTCCCGGTCCTGGGAATCCCGTATAGTGATGATAGCCCAGACCTCACTGAGTACCCCCCCATAGCACTTTCATAACTTATGTAACATAGTTATGAAAGTGCTATGGGGGTAATCAGGGGGTGGGGTCTGGTCTACCATCACTATACAGGATTTCCAGGACCGGTAATCCCTACAAAAACCTAATCACTTATATATACTGTATACAAACATACATAAGCTCGACAATGGATCTATACGACATGTTCAGAGATTGGCGATTTTACCACTACTAGCCTACCCGGTAGTCCGTTTGGACATAACCTAACTGTTGACGGTTTTGTCAAACATTGTACCGATATTTATGGCCCTGAATTCACCGCCCAATCCATACAGCGGGCCGTCGACGATCATAATGCCAACTATGGCGGTGCCAAACCTAACCTAACAAATGTGGTGTTTCCCAATGGTTCACTGGATCCGTGGTCAGTGCTAAGTGTATTGCACGACCTGAACAACAGTACCCGAGCCGTGTTCATTGAGGGTACATCTCATGGATCGGATATGATGGCCGAACAGCCAACTGATCCCCGGGTGCTGATTGATGCGCGAAAAACTATTGAAAAACAATTGCAATTGTTTTTGCAATAATAATAAAATAAATAGTGTAAGTTTTCAATACTGTAAATACTAATAATAAAATACATTATTATATTAATTGAATTAATTAATTTTGAATTTAAAATTATTATTATTTTTGTTGTTGATATATATTAAGTGTAAACTTTTTCCCCAATATTTTTAATAATAATAGCATAATATTTAAAAAAAATATATATATTAAATAAATATATACCGGTATACTGTATATATATATTTAAATTACAAAATAATAAAATAAATTATTATAATATTAATTGAATGAATTAATTTTGAATTTAAAATTATTAATATTTTTAAAAAATATATATTAATGTAAATTTTTTTCCCAATAATTTTAATAATAATATTATTTTTTCAAAAAAAATATTAACTAGTACTGTATCTATTTAATTGTATAAATATAGATATATATTTAAATTACAAAATTATAAAATAAGTTATTGAATACTTGTTTAGATAATAAGCTAATAGTAATAATAATAATAATAATAATACAGTAACTTATTTAAACTGAGTGCATCAAGGTTGAAAATTAATAATTAATAAAATTAATCAGTTCAACAAGGTCCAGTTAATCTGTTAACTATAGATTATTACTATGATATTGTGAAATTATTAATGAAATATTAAAAAACATTTAACCTAAATAAACTGATTATATCAATAATATTTATTTAAAAAAAATAATAATATAAATAAATAATAAAAATTTAATATATACAGTATTTATAAATATAATACAGTTAAAACATTTTAAAAAAAAATAATAAAAACATGTATGGCATGTATGGTCACCCTATTTACCGACACAATCATATAATATTAACCACATATTGCCCGACATTTAAGTACAATACAACCTGTATATTAACCTTAAAAAATAGCTCAAATATTCACTGCTATACTAAATTGTATCTCAAGTGGTTTTAATAGATAGATAGATAATATATTAAACTTTATAGTACTTTAAATTATAATAACAAATAATAATAATAATAATAACATATTTAAACCGAGTACATTAAGGTTGAAAATTAATTCAATAATATATATATAAATACAATTAAAATAATTTTATTATTATTAGTAAAAAAAACTTAACATTTAATTTAATTATAAGTATACTAATAATAATAATTAATTATAATTTAATAAATAAATAAAAATGAAATCTATTATATTTATATTGAATACCTTTTTAACATTACATACAACATTGTACGGCACATTATGTAGCGGCCAATCTGTCTACATGTATGGTATGCGTGGACCACCCGTTCCCGACAATCATATACAAACATTACCGGATAATTGGTTTGACCAACGAGTCGATCATTTTAATACAAGCGATACCCGTACTTTCAAACAGGTAATTGTGTTTATATATACAGTATACCGTATATACAGTATATAAATCTGTAAAAAAACAAATTATATGTAAATTAATTAATAATTATATTTAAAAAAATTTTTTTTTAAATAATAATATTTATATAGCGTTATCATATAAATGATAAATATTACAAAACTGGTGGACCAGTGTTTCTAATGTTGGACGGAGAAGCTGAGGGAACTGACTATTTTGCAACAACGGGTGCAATGGCCGAGTTTGCCTCAAGATTTAACGCCATAGCTGTCGAACTGGAACACCGATACTATGGCCAGTCGGTACCGACTGTGGATCTGTCGGTCGATAATTTGCGATACCTGACCGTCGAACAGGCCCTGAAAGATACCGATGAGTTTATCGGGTATTTGAATGGAAAGTTATCACTAACTAATACAACTAAATGGATAACGTTTGGCGGATCGTATGCCGGATCACTGGCCGCCTGGTTTCGTGAGAAATATCCCCAATCGGTGGCCGGTTCGGTGGCCAGTAGTGCACCGGTTCAGGTACGGTACGAATTCAAAGAGTATTTAGGTGTCGATAGCCAATCGTTGGGTACTGAGTGTACCAATCAGGTCAGGTATGTACTAATAAAACTGTATATATTTATATAAAAAACATGTTATTATTTTTATGACACACATAGAGAAGCATTCAAACAAATAGAGGATCAGTTGAAAACATCCCAAGGCTGCCAACTACTAACCAAACAGTTCAATCTGTGTACACCAATGAATGGTACAGATCTGGATTCAGTACATAATCTTAAGTTCAACCTAATTGTCCCGTTGGGTATGGCCGCTCAATACGATGGACAGATACCGTTAAGCGTCGGTAAAGTGTGCGCAATGATGATGACCAATGTGTCCATCAAACAACCGGTTGAACGATTGGCTAGTGTCCAGTCAGAGTATCTGAGCGGTAAATGTTTGGATTATGATTGGATAAAATATGTCAATCAACTAAAAGAGACGTCCAAAACAGCACCGTTAGTCCGGGCGGGGGTAAGTGCTATATACAGTATATATTAGGAAATTAATAACTAAAAAATAATATATTAATTAATTAATTTTTTTATATATAATAATAGTGATAATAATAATAATTTTAAAAATATTTTTTATCATTTAATATTATTAAATTAATAATTAATTTTTTTTAAAAAAATAAATATTATAATAGTTTTTAATTAATATTATAATAGTTTTTAATTAATATTATAATAGTTTTTTAAATTAATATTATAATAGTTTTTAATTAATATTATAATAGTTTTTTAAATTAATATTATAATAGTTTTTTAAATTAATATTAAATACACTATAAATAAGAAATAAATATTTAACTGCTTTTTATATATAATAAAAACAGTTAAATAAAAATAATTTTCTACTAAATTATGATAATATATTCATAATTTGTGTTTCAAGTGAGACAATGGACTTACCAGACGTGCACTGAGTTAGCATTTTTTATAACCACTGGCCTCGAGGACAGTCCGTTTGGTCGGAACTCAGTTCCAGTTGATTACTGGACCAAACAGTGTACCGATGTTTTTGGCAATGAGTTTACGCCGGAGTCAATCAAGAAAGCAGTGGACAAGTTTAACGCCGGTTACGGCGGTTTCAAACCTAACGTCACAAATGTTGTCTTTCCCAATGGATCGGTCGATCCGTGGCATGCGTTGAGTGTACTGAATGATCTGAACAATAGTACCCGAGCTGTCTATATAAACGGTACATCCCATGGATCGGATATGGTTCAAACAAAGCCAACTGATCCACAGGTGCTGACCGATGCCCGGCTGGCTATTGAAAAACAGTTGCATTTGTTTTTGCAATGAAAATAAAATATTGTTAATTAAAAAATACTCTACTATTAAATATTAAATATTTTTTTTGTTAAATGTAAACTAAATTTAAAAAAAAATTAATATATAACAAATTAATATATAATAAATTATTATTAATAATAAATAAGATATATATAAAAATAAATAGTGCTTGCTCACTTATTTAATAATAAATTTTTTTTTTGTATTTTTAATTATTATTATTTCTATTAAACTTATAAACTTAATAGTTAATAATAAATATAAATTTATTTATTTTTAATCTAAATAGTTTGATTAATTTTTCTATTTATTTAAAAATAAAATACAAATTGTAATTAATTATAATATTTAGTTTATTTTATAAAAAATATATCTATATATAAATTAATTGTAAATTTAACAAATAAATATTTTTTTTAAGTATCATATTATAGTAATACTGTATATTAATTATATATATTTTTATATAATATTAGGGTAGATATTATGATTTTTTATATTTTATTGCAAAAACAATTGCAACTGTTTTGCAATTGTTTTCCGGGCATCGGTCAGCTCCTGGGGGTCAGTGGTTTGCGGTGGAAACAAATCCAGACAATGGGACGAACCGTTTATATAGACAGCTCGGGTACTGTTGTTCAGGTCCTCCAATACACCCAATGCGTGCCACGGATCCAGTGAACCGTTAGGAAAGGCAACGTTTGTGACGTTAGGTCGGAAACCTCCGTAATAGGTGTTAGTCGTTTGGACAGCTTTCTGGATGAACTGTGGGGTAAATTGTTTGCCAAATATGTCGACACACTGTTTAAGATAGTATTCAACCGGTACTGAACGATATCCGAACGGACTGTCCTCGAGGCCAGTCGTCTGAAAGTAGCCAAACTCATGGCACGTTTGATAAGTCCATTGTCGGGCTATTTTGAAAAACAATTAATTAATATATTATTTTAGTTAATTAATTTAATTAAATAATTAAAATAATTAAAAAAAAAGTTAATTGTTTTTTTAAAAATAAATATCTATTATATATAGTATATACAATATATTATAAAGATCTTAAAATTTATATTATATAATAATTTTTACAAAACTTATTACTAAAATTATTTCTAAAATAATACTAAAAAATAATACTAAAAATTAATACTAAAAATTAATACTAAAAATTATTACTAAAATTAATACTAAAAATTATTACTAAATTTATTACTAAAACTATTATTATTTAATTATTAATTAATTAATATAACACTTACATCCGATTTGAACCACTGGTGATGTCTTTGAAATGTTTTTATAGGCTTTAATTGCTTCTCCATAATCATAGGCCAGACATTCATCTTTGCTAAACTGTTTGTGCAATTTTGACCATCTCCGCAATGGTGTGGACGACCTATCATCCATACCATCGTTGGCCATCACTTTGCATACCTGTTGTACACCGATTACACCGGGTTTACCATTGTGTTGGGCGGCCACAGCAAACGGCATAATCAGATTAAACCACATTAGTTGAACCGACGGCTGGTCTGTACCGTTCAATGGTGTACACAGATTGAACTGTTTGCTGATGACTAGCCAGCCCTCCGGTGTCTTTAACTGATCCTCTAATTGATGGACAGCATCTCTGAGTGATAACAATAATAATAATAATTTATTTTTTTTTGTTTAAAAAATTACAAAATACCTGATATGATTGGTACAGTCGGTGCCCAATACTTGGCTAACAACACCAAAATATCTACTGAATTCAAAGCGATCCTCAACCGGTGCACTACTGGCCACCGAACCGGCCACTGCGTGCGGGTATTTCTCCCGAAGCCAAGCGGCTAGATTTCCCGCATACGATCCGCCAAATGCTATCCATTTACTATTGGCCAGCGATAAACTATCGGTTAGTTTTAGGATAAACTGTTCAATATCTTTGAGCGCCTGTTCGCTGGACAGATAGCGTAGATTATCAACCGATAGATCCACAGTCGGAACCGATTTACCGTAATAACGGTGCTCCAGATCAATGGCCAATGCATTGAACTGTTCGGCATACTTGGCAACGGCACCATCTGTTATAATAAAGTCCATGGCCTCGGATTCTCCGTCCAGATAAAGAAATACTGGTCCACCAGTTTTGTAATATTTATTGTTTATAAAGTATCGCTATGTGTGTGTATGTGTGTGTATGTGTGTGTGTGTATGTGTGTGTATGTGTGTGTGTATGTGTGTGTATGTGTGTGTATGTGTGTGTGTATGTGTGTGTGTGTGTGTGTATGTGTGTGTATGTGTGTGTATGTGTGTGTATGTGTGTGTATGTGTGTGTATGTGTGTGTATGTGTGTGTATGTGTGTATGTGTGTATGTATGTGTGTTGTTGTTGTGTTTTTAAAAATAATAAAATACAATTAATAAATTACTGTATAATTAGTGTAATTTAATTTTTATAAATATTTTTTTTAAAAACTTAATTACCTGTTTGAAAGTACGGGTATCGCTAGTGTTAAAGTGATCGACTCGTTGGTCAAACCATTTTTCTGGTAATGTGTTGACATGATTGTCGGAAACGGGTGGCCGAAACATGCCATACATATTGGCATATTGTTTATGCTTTGTTGTATATTTTTTACCTACCGTTCCGCCGCTACAATAGCCATACAAAGTGTATAGACTTATTAAGAAATTCAATGAAAATATCGTTAATTTCATTATTAATTTATTTTTACAATTATTATTATTTTTTATTTAAAAAATAAATAAATAAATAAAATGTTTAAACTTAATTGAAAAGTTTTCATACAAAACAACTATTTATATACAGTGTATAAGTTATTAAATATTTAATCAATAGATTAATTAATTATTAATCAAAATACTATATATAATATAAGTTTATAGTTAACACACTTAACTAATATACTGTATATATATATAATTACTAATATAACTAATATATAATATATAATTAAGTGTGTATATATATAGTTTAGATAAATAGATATTAAAAGTACTTTATTATTGCACACTTATTATTATTATTTTTTAATATATATATATATAGATTTATTGTATTAATTGATTCAAACTTTTTGTACTAAATTTTTATTATCATCAATTTTTTGTTTGCTGCTAATTGCAGTAAAATTTTTAATTATTAATATTAAACAAAAATTATCTAATTATTAGCTAAGTTAACAATATTATAATCTATTTGTTATAGAAATTAATTAAATTTCTAATTAATTTATCAAAAATTAATAGGAATATATTTTTAATAAAACTTTGAATTTAAATTTTAAATTTTGATTAAATAAATAATTAACTTTCAATACAAATCTTATAATTTATTTTTAGTTAGTAATTAGAAAATATTTTTATTAAAAAAAATTAATAAAAAAATAATACTAAATGATTGATGTCAATAATAATATGTAATTAATAATAACGTTAATAAATAATAATTATTTTGTTTATTTATAAAATAAATTTCCAATTAAAATAACTAACATTAATATAGTAATAATTAAATATATTAATATAATATATAATTTATATCAATAATTATTTATGATTACTATTATTAAAAAAACATTAAAATTATAGTTTTATTTAAAATAATACTAAATATATTTCTTAAAAAATAGTTAGCCTTTTGTTGTTTTGAAATTTTGAATTTTTCTAATTAATAATTAGCTTATAAATAGATATAAAAAAATAAAATCAATTATTTATAAATTATGATTTTTATTTTTACTGTATATTCAAGTTTTTTTAGCAAAAATAATTAATTTTGTAAACATAAATAAACTGAAATATTATATCAAATTTAAATAAAATATAGTACAGTATAATATGATAGAAAAAAATATAAATTAAAAAAAAATCTTATTAGTTTTAATTTGACTTTTTAAATTAACAATTATTAACTACAAATAATTATTTATTTATTTATTTACTATAACAAATATAATATTAATAATAATAAAAAATAATAATTGTAAATTTAATTAATCAAATTTCATGCCAAAAAAATATATGATAATTACAGTACAGTATTATTATTATTATTATTATTAGGATAGATATTATTATTAATTTTTTAAAAATTTTATTTTATTGTAAAAACAATTGCAACTGTTTTGCAATGGTTTTGCGGGCATCGATCAGCTCCTGGGTGTCAGTGGATTGCTGTGCAAACAAATCGGAGCCATGAGACGACCCGTGTATGTATAGGGCACGGGTACTGTTGTTCAGGTCCTTCAATACGCCCAACGCATGCCAGGGATCGAGTGAACCGTTAGGAAACACTACGTTCGTGACGTTAGGTCGGAAACCGCCGTACAAGGCGTTAGTCGTTTGGACAGCTTTCTGGATGGACTGTGGGGTAAACTGTTTGCCATAGATATCTGAGCACTGTTTAAGAAAATAGTCGACAGGAACGGCATTATGACCGAACAGACTGTCCGGGAGGCCAGTGGTCTGGAATAGGCCGAACTCATTGCAGTCCTGGTATGTCCATTGTCGCACTAGATTTAACAAAAAAAACAATATGATATATATATATATAATTTTATTCAGTGTTTCGAAATGGGGGGTGGTAAGGCCATTAATTGGGAATTTATTAGGAATATATAAGGAATATATCAGGAATTTATTGGGAATTTACTGGGTATTTATTGGGAATTTGGGAAAAAATTATCGTTTAAAAAATGTAATAACCCCATCCTATATCCCACAAGTTTTTTTTCAAGATTTTTACAATTTTACCCCCCCCCCTATGCCCCCTGAGATCGAAACCTTGAATTTTATTATAATATTGCAACACAACAAAAAAACAAACACTTACTCCCGGCCCTAGCCATTGGTGATGTTGTCGACGTATTTCTATAGACTCTAATATTTTCATTGTAATCGTAGTCAATGCACTCGCCTTTGCTAAACTGTTTGTGCAATTTTGCCCATCTATCCAATGGTGTCGACCCATCCATATCGTTGGTGGTCGTCATCATCCCTTTGCATACTTCTTGTACACCGATTATACCGGGTTTGCCGTCGTGTTGTGCGGCCACAGCAAACGGTATGATTAGCCCAAATCTAAGCAAATGTACGGAACTGGTGTCCGTAGTACTGTTCAATGGTTTACACAGATTGAACTGTTTGCTGATTGACTGCCTGCCCTCCGGTGTCTTCAATAGATCCTCTAATTGATGGACAGCCTCTCTGAATGAATAATAATAATTAATTAGCTTTTAATTAATAATTTCTAATAATAATAATTTCTAATAATAATAATAATAATAATTTCTAATAATAATAATAATAATAATTTCTAATAATAATAATAATAATTTCTAATAATAATAATAATAATAATAATAATTTCTAATAATAATAATAATAATAATTTCTAATAATAATAATAATAATAATTTCTAATAATAATAATAATAATAATTTCTAATAATAATAATAATAATAATAATAATTTCTAATAATAATAATAATAATAATTTCTAATAATAATAATTTCTAATAATAATACCCAATAGGTTTTGAACATTTCTTTAAAGATTCTTCAACAACACCGAAATACTCTTTGAATTCAAACCGGTCCTCAACCGGTGCACTACTGGCCACCGAACCGGCCACTGCGTGCGGGTATTTTTCGCGGACCCAAGCGGCTAGATTTCCCGCGTACGACCCGCCAAATGCTATCCATTTACTACTAGTATTAGTCAACGATAAACTATCGGTTGATTTTAGGATAAACTGTTCAATATCTTTGAGAGCCTGTTTGCTGGACAGGTATCTCAAATTGTCTAACGATAGGTCAGGTGTCGCCACCGATTGGCCGTAATACCGGTGCTCCAACTCTATGGCCAATGCATTGAACTGTTGGGCATAGCTGGCAATGGCACCCTCTGTTATAAAGTAGTCACTGGACTCTCCCTCACCATCTAATACCAGAAATACTGGTCCACCGGTTTTGTAATATTTATCGTTTATAAAGTAACGCTAAAATGTGTTTATTATATATTTATACAGTAGTATAATTAATATTAAAAACAATTATTTATTAATTAAAAAATTAATTAATTAATTAATTACCTGTTTGAATGTACGGCTATCGCTTGTATTAAAATGATCTAATCGTTGGTCAAACCATTTATCTGGTAATGTTTGGATATGATTGTCGGGAACCGGTAGCCGTAACCTACCATAATTGTTAAACCCGATACCACTACAGTAACCATACAGTGTGTATAGAGTTACTACTAATAATAATACATTCAATTTATTAGTTAATTTCATTATTAACTATATGTTTTGAGTAACTTAATTATTAACAGAACTTATAATTTATTTTTAATAAATAAAATTTTTAAGTTATAATAATAATAATAATACTTATGACACTAAAAAAAAACATTTATATTTATATATAAATAATTAGTTAGTTATTATTTAATACTACATTATAGATAAATTTTTAATCAATTTTAGCAAATCTGGTTAAGTGTTTACTCATTGTACTCATATATATTATTGCAATTGTGATTATAATTTTTAAAAAATAAATAAATAAAACTAAAATAAAATGTTCAATTTTAATTGTCAAGTTATATGATAATAATAGATATGGAAAAAATAATAGTTATATTTATTACTAAACAGTTTTTTTTAATAATTATTAGTTAGTTTATATTTTTTAATCAAAGTTTAGATAAATTTATTTTTTTCAGATTAAATCAGATTAAAATAAATAAATAAATAAAAAAGGTTAAGTATTTACTTATTGTACTATAATTATTAATTTCACCTAAATTTTATTAATATATTATATATATAATTTATTATTGATTAATTTTGGTGCACTAAAAAAATATTGAATTTTTATTATTATTATTATTATTATCAATTTAATAATTTTCATTCAATATTGTTGTAATAAATAATAAATGAAACATTTAGTAAATTTTTATAAGTGATGTTTAATTAAGTATTATATTTTTGTTTGTTTAGCTAATTAAATATTACCTATTATTATAATTTGTTGGAAAATTTTTTTTTTTTTAAATCAAAAATACTGTTCAAACATTTACTACTTTATAATTTTATTGTTTTTTTTGTTTTAATTTATGTTAAAAATCGTTTACATTTTATTTTATAATATATTACACAATTTACTGTGAGCTAAATATATAAAGTTTAATTGCATTAAAAAATAATTTGATAAACATTTAATAATAATTAAAAAATATATTATTTATTTTAATAAGTTATTACTTATAGTTTTATTAACTATTAATTTATGATAATTACAAAATTAATATTAAATGATTGATGTCAATAATACTGGTCAATAATAATTTGTAATTACAGTTAAAAAAATATAATTAATTTGGTTTATTTATAAAATAAATTTCCAATTAAAATAACTAACGTTAATATATTAATAATTAAATATTATTTTTCTAATTAATAATTATAGAATTAATAAATACAAATAAATAAAAATCAATTATACAAATATGTAAATTATTATTATTATTTTAAATTAATAATAAATTAACTGAAAAATATTTAAATAATAAATAATAATAATACAACAAAATTAATTATAATATTTAACATAAATAAATAAATATTTTATTTTATTTTTTATAGAAATATATGATAATTAATGTACTATTATATTATGATTTTTATTTTTATTTATTTTTTAACTACTTTATTGCAAAAACAATTGCAACTGTTTTGCAATGGTTTTCCGGGCATCGGTCAGCTCCTGGGGGTCAGTGGTTAGCGGTTGAAACAAATCCGAGGCATGGGATGTCCCGTGTATGTATAGGGCACGGGTACTATTGTTCAGGTCCTTCAATACGCCCAACGCTTTCCACGGATCAGTTGAACCGTTAGGAAACACTACGTTCGTGACGTTAGGTCGGAAACCGCCGTAATAGGTGTTAGTCGTTTGGACAGCTTTCTGGATGGACTGCGGGGTAAACTGTTTGCCATAGATATCGGAGCATTGTTTAAGAAAATAGTCGACAGGAACGGCATTATGACCGAACAGACTGTCCGGGAGGCCAGTAGTCTGAAATAGACCGAACTCATTGCAGTCCTGGTATGTCCATTGTCGACCTTATTTTACAAAAAAACAATATAATATATATATATAGGATAATTATAGGGAATTTATAGGGAAATTACTGGGAATTTAATGGGAATTTAGTGGGAATTTACTCAAATATGACAAAAATTATCGTTTAATAATGCAATAAAAAAATTTCACCCTACCCTATAATTCCCCCCCCCCTCTAAGCTCTTTCGAGATTAACCCCACCCCCTGAAATCGAAAACTTTTCGCAACCCTGATATATACAGTATATATATATATATATAATTTTATTTATAATATTGCAAAAAACACTTACTCCCGGCCCTAGCCATTGGTGATATGATTGTCGGGAACGGGTGGCCGTAACATAGCATACTTATTAAACCCGATACTACTGGGCAATTGTTTTACTGTCCGGCAGCTACAGTAGCCATACAGTGTGTATAGACTTAACAATACATTCAATAATATTAACGATTTCATTATTAACTATATGTTTAATTAACTTAAAAAATTATAATTTATTTTATTTTCAAATATTATTTTTTTAATAAATAAATTGTTTACTTTTAATTTAAGTTTTAATTTAATAGTTGTTATATTATAGTTATGACACTAATTTATATATATTGTATATAATTAATTATATTTACTATTTTAATCATAATTTTGTTTTTATTGATAAATTTTAGTATTTTTTAATCAATTTTAACAAATCTGGTTAAGTGTTTACTCATTGTACTCATATATTATTGAAATTGATTATATTATTATTGATTATTAATTTTAATTGTCAAGTAATATAATAATAATAATAGCTATGCTAAGTAATAGTTAGTTAAAAAAAGGTTAAGTTTTTACTTATTGTACTATAAAATATTATTTCACAAATACTATTAAATATCAATATATCAAAAAATATTGATAATTTATTGTTATCAATTTTTCATAATTATCATTTAATATTGTTATAATAAATAAATAAATAAATGAGACATTTAGTAGATTTTTTATAAGTGATGTTTAATTAAGTAATTTTTGTTTGTTTAGCTAACTATATATAAATATGGCTTTTATTATAATTATTTTTTTTTATAGAAATTTATTTAGAAATATCTAAAATACTTTTCAAAATTGAATACTATATTGTTTTTATATTCAATGTTTTTATTTATTTATTTTTAAATCAATCGTTAATATTTTAATTTATAATAAAACTAAATTTATTGTGAGCTTAATATAAAGTTTGTAATAATTTGATAGACTATTAATAAAAATAATTTCATAAACATTTAATAATAACAAAAATATTTGTATTAATAATTTATTACTTAACTATTAATATATGGTAATTACAGTTTATACTGATAATTAATTAATTAATAATTAAAAAACATTTACAACATTAACTTAATGCAAATTTAACATAATATTTTTTAGTGTTATTTATTATTATTATTATTTTAAATTAATAGTAAATTAACTACAAATACAATTAATAATAATAATTAATAATTTATTTATTATTGCAACAACAAAATTAATTAAAATATTTAACAAATAAATATTTTAATTATTTTTTTAGAAATACATGATAATTATATTACAATTATATTATGATTTTTACTGTATATTCAAATGTTTATTGCAAAAACAATTGCAACTGTTTTGCAATGGTTTTCCGGGCATCGGTCAGCTCCTGTGGGTCAGTGGTTTGCGGTGGAAATAGATCCGAGCCATGGGATGTCCCATGTATGTATACGGCACGGGTACTATTGTTCAGGTCCTTCAATACGCTCAGCGCGTGCCACGGATCAGTTGAACCGTTAGGAAACACTACGTTCGTGACGTTAGGTCGGAAACCGCCGTAATAGGCGTTAGTCCTGTTGACTGCTTTCTGGATGGACTGCGGAGTAAATTGTTTGCCAAATATGTCGACACACTGTTTCAGAAAGTATTCAACCGGTACTGAACGATAACCGAACGGACTGTCCACGAGGCCAGTCGTCTGAAAGAAGCCAAACTCATTGCACGTTTGGTAAGTCCATTGTCGCACTAGATATAAAAAATAATTGTTTTTTTTAAAAAATAAATATCTAATAAAAAAATATACAATATATTATAGAGATTTTAAAATTTATATTATATAATATATTTTTACAAAAATTATTACTAAAATGATTACTAATATTATTACTAAAATGATTACTAATATTATTACTAAAATAAATAATAAAATTATTAACTAAAATCATTAACTAAAATCATTACTCATTACTAAAATTATTACTAATATTATTACTAAAATTATTATTAAAGATATTTATAGAGATATTTTTAATTTATATTATAATAATATATGATTACTATATAGTAAATTATTATTATTACTGTATAATTATAATTAAAAATGAAATATAATAATAATAATTATTATTATTTTTATATAACACTTACTCCCGATTTGGACAACTGGCGATGTTTTTGATATATCTCTATAGGCTTTAACCGATTCATTGTAATCATAGGACAGACACTGGCCTTTGCTGAACTGTTTGTGCAATTTCGACCATCTCTGCAATGGTGTCGATCCGTCCTTATTATAGGCCATCACTTCGCATACCTCTTGGATACCGATTACACCGGGTTTACCATTGTGTTGGGCGGCCACAGCAAACGGTACAATCAGATTAAACCACATTAGTTGAACCGACGGCTGGTCTGTACCGTTCAATGGCGTACACAGATTGAACTGTTTGCTTATAGACTGCCTGCCCTCCGGTGTCTTCAATAGATCCGCTAATTGATGGACAGCCTCTCTATAAATAATAATAATAATAATAATTTCTAATAATAATAATAATTTCTAATAATAATAATAATTTCTAATAATAATAATAATTTCTAATAATAATAATAATTTCTAATAATAATAATAATAATAATTTCTAATAATAGTAATAATAATTTCTAATAATAATAATAATTTCTAATAATAATAATAATAATAATTTCTAATAATAATAATAATAATAATAATTTATAATAATAGTAATAATAATTTCTAATAATAATAATAATAATTTCTAATAATAATAATAATTTCAACAATAATAATAATAATTTCTAATAATAATAATAATTTCTAAAAATAATAATAATTTCTAATAATACTAATAATAATAATAAGTTAACAATACCTGATAGGTTTGGTACATATGGTACCCAATGCTTCGCTAACGACACCGAAATACTGATTGAATTCATAGCTAACACCAACCGGTGCACTGCTGGCCACCGAACCGGCCACTGCTTGCGGATATTTTTCGCGTACCCAAGCGGCCAGTGCTCCCGCATACGATCCGCCAAATGCTATCCATTTACTAGTACTGGCCAGCGATAAACTATCGGTCGTTTTCATGATAAACTGTTCAATATCTTTGAGAGCCTGTTCGCTGGACAGGTATCTCAAGTTGTCTAACGATAGATCAGATGTCGGCACCGAATGGCCATAATATCGGTGCTCCAACTCTATGGTCAATGCGTTAAACTGTTGGGCATATAAGGCAACGGCACCCTTAGTTATAAAGTAGTCACTGGACTCTCCCTCACCATCTAATACTAGAAACACTGGTCCACCGGTTTTGTAATATTTATCGTTTATAAAGTAACGCTAAAATGTATTTATATTAATATAATCGGTAATTAATATTAAAAACTATTATTAATTAATTACTAATTTAATTAATTTAATTACTAATTTAATTAATTTAATTACTAATTTAATTAATTTAATTGCTAATTTAATTAATTAATTACTAATTACCTGTTTGAATGTACGGCTATCGCTTGTATTAAAATGATCTAATCGTTGGTCAAACCAATTGTCCGGTAATGTTTGGATATGATTGTCAGGAACGGGTGGCCGTAACATACCATAGTTGTTAAACCCGATACCATTAATGGGCAATTGTTTTACTATACCACCACTACAATAGCCATATAGTGTGTATAAAGTTATTATTAATACATTTAATATTGTTGATTTCATAATTAATTTTTCTTTTTAAATAATATTATTAATTATTATTATTATTATTTTAGTTAAGAGTATTTAGATTTTTTTTATTTTGCTAAACATTACATCAATTTATATATTAATAATTTTAATCAATTTTAATTGTTTTATCAGTTTTAGTAATGTTGAAGTGTTTTAGTTATATATTGAACTATTGATTATAATTAACCTTGTTGTACTTTTGTAAAAACTAAACTTATCTAGTTAATATATATTAAAAGTTATCTTAATAAAACTATATTATTATTTTTATTTTATTTTTTAATTATTTAAAATATGGCAAAATATGATATTTTCTTAATTATTTAAAAAAAATATTTATTTGTTTATTTTCATTTAATAAATAATAATTTTTATTACATATTTAAAAAATATTTTTTTAATATTAATTAAATTATATTTATATATACAGTATACTGTATTATTCATAAAATAATTTATTTTCATAAATAGTAATATAAAAATAGCTTAGTATTTATAATACATTATTAATACAAATAAATATTAGCTATTAGTAAATTAATAAATATTTTTTATTAAAAAAATATTATTTAGATAATTATTTATAAAAACTTTAAAAAACTAAACATATGTTATAATACAGTACTATTAAAATTATGTTGTTTTTTTAATCTAATCTCTAAGTAAACACTTAAAATAAAAAATATTGGATAAAATTTCATTTTTATTTAACCTATTGACAATTGAAAATAACTAATAGATAGAAAAAAATTAAAATTAGATAAAAAAAAGATAAAAATAAATTTGATTATTAAGTGCATTAAGGTTGAAAAAAATATATAAACTATTATTATTATTATTTGATCTAGGTAAACTGATTAAACTTTATACTTAATATCTATATATAAATATAAATATTTTATAATTAAAACTTTATTTATTATTATTATTATTATTATTATTATTAAATATAATATATATGATAAATAAATAAATAAAATGAAATCAACAATAATTATCCTAAATATAATTTTAACATTATATACATTGTTAGATACCTGTAGAGGGGCTAATATTTATCAATTTGATGGCCTATCGACTTACAAGTATGGTATGATGCGGGTGGTGGGGCCACCCGTTCCCAAAAGTCATACAAATACATTACCCGATAATTGGTTTGACCAACGAGTCGATCACTTTAACAATAGCGATACCCGTACTTTCAAACAGGTAATTGTGTTTTTATTTTTAATTTTAAATTTATTAAATAAAAATATACTAATAATAATAATTTTTACATTATAATTAAACCTATACCTCAAATACAACACTCCTTTCCACACAAAATAATAATAATAATAATAATAGCGATATTTTTTAAACGATAAATATTACAAAACGGGTGGACCAGTATTTCTATTGGTTGACGGAGAAAATGAAGGACAGGACTATTTTATAACCAAAGGTGCCGTCTCAGAGTATGCCAAACAGTTTAACGCATTGCTAGTAGATCTGGAGCACCGATACTATGGTCATTCAGTACCGACCCCTGACTTATCAGTTGACAATTTGCGATACCTGACTGTTGGACAGGCCCTGAAAGATACCGAACAGTTTATCGGGTATTTGAACAAAAAGTTAGCACTGAATACTAACAATACTAAATGGATAGCATTTGGCGGATCGTATGCGGGAAATTTGGTCGCATTTTTACGGGAGAAATATCCGCACGCAGTGGCCGGTTCGGTGGCCAGTAGTGCACCCGTTCAGATGACCTATGATTTTAATCAGTATTTTACTGGTGCTGGCAAATCCATGGGCACCGAGTGCTCCAATCAGATCAGGTATGTATAAAAAAATGCTGTAATAATGCCTTAAAATTTAATATTATTATTATTATATACAATATAATAGAGAAGCTGTACGTCTAGTGGAGGACCAGTTGAAGACACCCGAGGGTTGGCTGGCCATTGAAAAAGAGCTAAAACTATGTAAACCGTTGAACGGTACAGATATATCATCGGTGAATACAATGATGATATCGGCGGCCATACCGTTTGTTATGGCCGCGCAATATGTTGGCCAATCGGGTATCGATATGGTATGTGCAGTGATGACCAATACGAAAGACGGGTCGACACCAATACAGAGGTTTACCAAAGTGTTGACACAGTTTAGCAAAGCTAAATGTTTGGACAATGATTACAATCAGTTTATTGATGATATTAGACAAACATCAAAGACAGCACCGATGAATCAAATTGGATGTAAGTGTTGTTATAATAATTATTTATTTATTTATTTTTTAAATACATATACATTAACTATTAGAGAGAGAGAGAGAGAGAGAGAGAGAGAGAGAGAGAGAGAGAGAGTAATAAAAATGAGAAAAATAGTGTAAAAATTATCGAAATTTTATTTTTAAAACTATTAAATATTAATAGTAATAGTTTACTAATAGTTTAATAAAAATAATATTAAATGTATTAAATTTTTAAATATTTTTCTATTTAATTATATAATAATTCTATAAAAAAAATAATACAATTTTTAATTTATATATTATTAGTAATTATAAATATTATTGTAAATTATTTATATACAAAAAGCATTATATTTATCATATATTGTATATAAATTACAAAATTATTATTTTATTAATAATAATAATAATAATTATTATTATTATTTCCACAATCAGATCGCCAATGGCTTTGGCAGACATGCACTGAGTTTGGCTACTTTCAGACCACTGACCATACGGACAGTCCGTTTGGAAACCAGGTGTCTATTGATTTCTATGTGAAACGTTGCGCCGATATGTATGGCAAACAATTTACTGGACAATTCATACGGAAAGGTATCGACAAGTTTAACCAGTATTATGGCGGCGCCAAACCTAACGTCACTAATGTCGTATTTCCTAACGGTTCAACTGATCCGTGGCGTGTATTGAGTGTATTGAAAGATTTGAATACAAGTAGCCGTGCTTTGATGATACAGGGCTGTGGCCATGGATCGGATATGCAGGAAACGTTGTCCACTGACCCGCGACAGTTGACCGATGCCCGACTGGCCATTGCAAAACAGATTCAATTGTTTTTGAAATAATTGTTTTTTTTTCGATAATAATAATAAATTTATATTTATTTATAATTGTTTATAATTATTATTTTTTTTAATATATACAGTATATATATACTGTAGTAATAAATATAAATTAATAATAATAATAAACAAAAATGTGTTATATTTTTTTTATACAAATATTAGTATTATTAGTTAAAAATTTTGTAAATTTGAATTATTATTAAATAACATAAATATTATATAAATATATTTAAGAAAATACAGTAATAAAAATTAACTATTATTTAATTATTTGAAAAAACTAACAGTAATAAAAATATTTAATTTACTGATTCACAACTAACTTAACTAAAATAATTTTTCATAAACTAAATTAATAATATTTTTAAAATATATATATATAATAAAAAATATATGATTTGTCAATTATAAAAAAAAGTTAAAAAAAATAAATAAGTTACTAAAAATATTTTACATTAGATTTAATTTCTAATATAATTTAATATGCTAATTAGTGACTAAAATATATAAATATACTGTATAAATTATTGACTAAAAAATTATAAAATGTAAAATTATAGTAGATTTATTTTATAGGGGGAACTCTAGTGTATACTATTTTAGTTAAATTATTTATTTTTTTTAAAAATAGATAAATAATATTACCTGTATTTTAACCTTAAAAAAACTCTAACATATTTATTGTATCTAAAGTGGTTTAATATTATAGATAGATAATATTTTATTTTTATTTTTTTGAAAAAAGTGAAAATAAGATAATAACAAAAATAATAGTAATAGCAATAATAATAATAATAATAACTTAGTTAAACTAAGTGCAACAAGGTTGATTTATTATATTATACATAATAACTTAAACAATTATCCAAAAAAATTAACCTAAATAAACTGATTATATTAATATAGATATTAGATTTATATATAAATACAATTTCAAATGTAATTAAATTATTATAAGTATAATAATAATAAATAATTATAATAAACAAAAATGAAATCTATTATATTTATATTGAATACGTTTTTAACTATATATACAACATTGTACGGCACACTATGTAGCGGCCAATCTGTCTACATGTATGGTATGCGTGGACCACCCGTTCCCGACAATCATATTCAAACATTACCGGATAATTGGTTTGACCAACGAGTCGATCATTTTAATACTAGCGATACCCGTACTTTCAAACAGGTAATTGTGTTTTAAAACAAAACTTAAAATTTATAAGATATTTATTAATGGTATTAATATATAAATTTTTTGTATGTTTTTTTTTATAATCTGTAATATCATATCAATTATTTTCATCTAATTTAAACACAATAACAATATAGCGATACTTTATAAACAATAAATATTACAAAACGGGTGGACCAGTATTTCTGTTGGTTGACGGCGAAAATGAAGGCCAGGACTATTTTATAACAGCCGGTGCATTGGCCGGGTATGCCCAACGATTTGGTGCATTAGCTGTCGATCTGGAGCACCGATACTATGGCCAATCGCTGCCCACTGAGGATCTATCGATCGGCAATTTGCGATACCTGACCGTCGGACAGGCCCTGAAAGATACCGAACAGTTTATCGGTTATTTGAACCGAAAATTATCGCTGAATAACAATACTAAATGGATAGCATTTGGCGGATCGTATGCGGGAAATCTGGTCGCATTTTTACGTGAGAAATACCCGCACGCAGTGGCCGGTTCGGTGGCCAGTAGTGCACCGATACAGATGACCTATGATTTTAATCAGTATTATCCGGCTGTTAGCCAATCGTTGGGTACCGAGTGCTCCAAACAAGTCAGGTATATATATATTGTTTTATAATAATAATAATAATAATAATTATTATTATATAGAGAAGCGTTTCAACTGGTAGTGGATCAGCTGAAGACACCCGACGGCTGGCTGGCCATCGGCAAAGAGTTCAAATTGTGTACACCATTGAACGGTACTGATCGGGATTCTGTCTACCGATTCATGTTGAGTCTGATGGAACCGTTTGCCATTTCGGCCCAATATGATGGCCGTTCACCAATGGGTGTCCACCGAGTTTGCTCATTGATGATGACCACCGATAATAGAACCGATAATGGATCCAAATCATCACCAGTTGATAGGTTAGCCCAAGTGATGACTGAGTATAGGAAAGGCAATTGTATTGACTATGAATACAATAAACTAATTAATGTATTGAAAGATATTAAGCCATCGCCTCAAGCAATGTGTAAGTGATTTTTTTTGCTAAAAATTTAAATATCATTTATTATTATATTTTTTGTGCCTAATGTGGGCGAGGAGGGGTGTGGCGGGTAGTTTACTTGGGGGGATGAGTAGGAGGAGGGTGTAAATTGACAAAAAAATAATAATATATTTAAATATTCAATATTAAGAATTTTTATTTTTTATGAAACTCTTATTTATATTTACTATTAACTATTAAATCTATTGATATATTTTAAGTTATAAAATATTAAATACAAAAAACAAAAATTATAAAAACATTTTTTTTTTAAATTTTATGAAACTCTTATTTATACTAATTAACTAAAAATCTATATATATATATATTTTAATTTACAAAATATTAAGATACAAACAAACAAAACAAAAATTATACAAACATTTAAAAAAAATTTTTTTTTTTTAATATTCTCTTATTTATATTTATTAACTCATAATTTAATATATATATATATATATATATATATATATATATATATATATATATATATATATATAGTATGAATATTAAGGATACAAAACAAAAATTATAAAAACATTTTTTAAAAAAAAATTGTTTTGTTTTGTTGTTTAAAATCTCTATATACAGTTCGCCAATGGTTTTACCAAATGTGTACAGAGTTTGGCTACTTTCAGACAACTGATCACTCGGATAGTCCATTTGGACATAACGTTCCCATTGATCATTATGTTAAGATATGTTCGGACGCTTATGGCAAACAGTTTACCCCGGATGTCATACGGAAATCAGTGGACAGGTTTAACCAGTATTACGGTGGCGCCAAACCTGAAAACATTACAAACGTTGTGTTTACTAACGGTGCTGTCGATCCGTGGCATGTACTGAGTGTATTGACGGATCTGAATCCGACTACCCGTGCTATTTATATGAATAGTACATCACATGGTGCCGAAATGTTGCAACCGTTACCCACTGACCCACAGGAGCTGACCGATGCCCGGCTGGCCATTGAAAAACAGTTGCAATTGTTTTTGCAATAAAATTATATAATATTATAATAATAATAATACTGTGCTGTAATTATCACTTAAATTATTTTTTTTAAAATACTTATTTGTTTTACAATTAGTTTTTATTTAATTGTAATAAACTATTAATAATTATTAATTATATTTTTTTGTATTTTGTATAAATATATTAATTTCAAAAAAAATAAAAATAAAAACATTAAGTATTTTATTTAGTTTTTTGTGGTTATATTTATACAATTTTTTTTATTATAATTTATCAGTAGTAATATTTTATCTCATATTTGGCGCACATGTATTATATAAATAATATATACTGTATTATTTATAAACATGATTAATCAAAAAATAAAAATATAAAAACAGATAATAAATAAATTAATTAATTAAAAAAAAGTGCAACAAGGTTAAGATGCTACCGTTAATCTAATAATTATATATATATATATATATATATAATATTAAATTTATCTTATAGTAATTAGATAACCTGGATAAACTGATAAAACTTATATAAGTTATTATATATTAATAATATAATTATTATATATTAATATTTATATAAACTTATATAAATATAAATAGCTGAATGTTGAATATTATTTTATTATTATTAAAAAATAATAATTTTCAAACACTTAATTTATTTGATAATACAATATAATTGTAGTTTTTTATATAAATAAATATTTTTAAAAAATGAAATATTTCATTTTAAATACATTAGTAACTCTATACACACTATACGGCACATGTATTGGTGCTAATAGACCAGTAGTATTTGAATCGGTATACAAATATGGTATATCTACAATGCCTCCCGTTCCCGACAATCATATCCATACATCAGCGGACAATTGGTTTGACAATCAACGAGTGGATCACTTTAACACTAGCGATACCCGTACTTACAAACAGGTAATTGTGTTTTTTATTTATTTATGAAATATTATAATACAATAATAAAATATGATTTTTACTATATTATCAAACATAAAAAAATTAATTAAGTTTTAAAAAAAAATTGTTTATAAAAATTAAATTATACTAACTATACAGTAATTTATTAATTGTATTTTATTATTTTTAAAAACACAACAACAACACAAAAACACACACACACACATACACACACACACACACACACACACACACACACACACACACACACACATACACACACACACACACATACACACACATACACACACACACACATACACATACACACACACACACACACATACACACACACATACACACACACACACACACACACACACACACACACACACATACACATACACATACACATACACATACACATACACATACACATACACATACACATACACATACACATACACATACACATACACATACACATACATACATACACACATACACACACATGTTTTTTATTTGAAACGAAATATATTATTATTAAATGCTTATAATAGTTAATTAAATTTTTATTATTAATATTTTTGTGTATTATTAAACAAAAAAAAATATTTTTATTGAATTAAAGCGATATTTTCTAAACGATAAATATTACAAAACGGGTGGACCAGTATTTCTAGAGGTATATGGCGAGGGAGAAGCCAATGACTATTATATAACATCGGGTGCTATCGCAGAGTATGCCAATCGGTTTAATGCATTGCTAGTAAATCTGGAACATCGATACTATGGTCAGTCAGTGCCGACTGAGGATCTATCGGTTGAAAATCTAAGATACCTGACCGTCGAACAGGCCCTGAAAGATACCGAACAGTTTGTCGGATATTTGAATAAAAAGCTATCACTTAATCATAACAATACTAAATGGATAGCATTTGGTGTGTCGTATGCGGGAAATTTGGTCGCCTATTTGCGTGAGAAATACCCGCACGCAGTGGCCGGTTCGGTGGCCAGTAGTGCACCGGTAGACGTACCCTATGATTATAATCAGTATTTTGTTGCTGTTAGCAAATCGTTGGGCACCGAGTGCTCAAATCAAGTCAGGTATATATATATAAACCTCATATATATTTGCTTAACATATTATACATATATAAGTAATTATCGCTTAAAAATGTTTTTAAAAACTCCAGACTAGCTGTCAATCAATTGGAGGACCAGTTGCGGACACCGGAGGGTTGGCAGTCAATGGCCAAAGAGCTGAATCTGTGCGCACCGTTGAACGGTACGGATAAGCTATCGGTAAACTTGTTAATGTTTACGCTGACCGCACCGTTTGGTTCGGCCGCCCAATACAATGGTCTGCGAAATTTTCTGGGCGTAGCACAGGTATGTGCGGTGATGACCAACGGTAAGGATGTATGGACACCATTGCAACGATACGCCAAAGTTGTCGGACAGTATTTCAAGGGCGGATGCCTTCCCGTTGATTACAGCCAACAGATTCAACTGTTTCGTAATGTAGAGAAAACAGCGCCTCTAGTCTTAGCCGGGGGTAAGTAGTGTTGGGTAGTGTTTGTATACATTTTTTAGGGGTTTATTGTAGGCTGGACGGGGTGGGGGAGTTTACTTGTGTGTGGGGGGTGAGGGGAAAAATTGACAAAAATACCTGTATATTACATATATATTATATACCTGTATATTACATATATATTACATATATATTATATACCTGTATATTACATGTAATTTACATATATATTATATACTGTATATATATATATAAATACAGTATAATTTATAGTAACAATATATATAAATTTATATCAATATATTATTATATAAATAACTTTAGATGAATTATATTAGTGTTTTTTGTTAGTGTTTTTGTATATTAATGTTTTTTTTGTAGTTATATATATATATATATATTAGTGATGATATATATATATATATATATAACTTAATATAATTTCACTAATATATTGTATTATTATTATTATTATTCAGTCCGTCAATGGTATTACCAGATGTGCTCACAGATTGGCTACTTTTGGACTACCGATCAAACGGACACACCGTTCGGCCATAACATACCCATTGATTACTATTTGAATCTATGCGCCGATGTTTATGGCAAACAGTTTACCCGGGAGTACATGAAAAAATCGGTCGACAGGTTTAACTCAAATTATGGCGGTTTCAAACCTAACGTTACGAATGTAGTGTTTCCTAACGGTGCTGTCGATCCCTATCATGAGCTGAGTATAGTCAAGGATCTGAACAACAGTACCCGAGCTATACTAATGAAAACTACTGGTCACGGATCAGATATATTTCCAACACAATTCACTGATCCACGGGAGCTAACCGATGCCCGACTGGCCATTCAAAAACAAATACAATTGTTTTTACAATAAAAAAAATTTATGATATTTTTATAATAATAATAATAGTAATAATTAATTAATAATAAAAACTATTTTTTTTATAATTTTTTAATTAATACAACTAACCTATGCTAACTTATTTTTTTTTAATAATACGTATGTTTTATATATTAAAATAAATATTATAAAATCCAAAACTTTTAATAAATAATTTTTAGAAATAAAATTGATAAATATTGTTTTTCTAAATAAACTATATATTGATATATAATATATATATCTGTAACTATATATGATATTTGATAATATTTATATATTTAAAATCAATTGCACTAAAAAAATAGATATTAAACTAATGTATTTAAATAGTAAACATGTTTAAAAGACAATTATTATTATAGTTTTTATTTAATTATTTAATAATTTTTGTAATTAATGTATATGTTATCTAAAGTGGAATATTTGAATTTTATTATATATATATATATATATATATATATATATATATATATATATAATTTATATTTACTAACAGACTATAAACCATTTACTATAAACCATAACTTATAGATATAAACTAAGTTTATAATGTATTTTTTTATTATTATTATATATAATTTTTTTTATTAATAATCTGCTAATACTTTATTATAATTATAATAATTAGATTTTTAGTAAAATATATAAATAAAATTTTCCACTTTGTAAATGCTTTACTAAAATTTATAGACATTATAGAAATTTATTTGTGACAATAGTATTATATAATAAATAATTTTGATGATAATAACTATAATTTTATCTTATATTATTGGCACAAATTGTATAGTATTATTATTATTAAAAATATATCTACATAGTTAATTTAATTATATATTTTAAAAAATAATACTAATAAAAGTTAACAAATAAAGTGCAACAAGGTTAAGATGATACCCATTAAAAAATCATAATCATAATAATTAATCTATACTATCAATAATATATTACTTTAAGATAACCTGGATAAACTAATAACTTTCACTTATATATATCTATTAATATATACAGTATATAAATAGCTTATTGAATATATTTATTATTATTATTAAATATCAATTTTTATTTAAATATCAATCGGACAATAAAAATTTATTAATAATAAATATATTTTTATAATAATAATAATAATTGTTTTGAAAAAAATGAAATTTTCAATTTTAAAAACTTTACAAATTTTATGTTACATACTATACGGTACATGTAGTGGTGATAATAATAATAATAATAATAATAATAATAATAGACCAGTATTTGAATCAATAAACAATTTTAATGGTATGTTTAGATCTCCCGTTCCCGACAATCATATCCAAACATTACCGGATAATTGGTTTGACAATCAACGAGTCGATCACTTTAATAATAGCGATACCCGTACTTACAAACAGGCAATTGTGTGTTATTTTTAACTTAATTTATAAGTTTATAATATGAAAAAAATATTATAATATTAATTTTAAAAAAAAAAAATTGATTTTAACTATATTATCAAACATTAAAAAAAACTATATATAATTATAGAGATATTTTATTAATGATAAATATTACAAAACGGGTGGACCAGTATTTCTAGTGGGTCGATGGAGAAACTGAGGCCAGCGATTATTTTATAACAGCGGGTGCCGTCTCAGAGTATGCCAATCGGTTTAACGCATTGCTTGTAGATCTGGAGCACCGATACTATGGCCAGTCGGTACCGACTGAGGATCTATCGGTCGAAATGTTTTTACAATAAATTTTATTTATACTGTATTATAGATATATCAATATATAAGTTATTAAACAAAACAAAAATTTTCAAAAACAAATTGAAATAAAATTATTGTTTTTTTTATCACATATACAGTATATAAAAATTTTTTTTTTAATAATTAATAAATTTAATAATATAAACAAAAAAACATAACGATTAACATTTTTGTATTATTAATATATATATAAGTTATAAATATATAGATTTTGTAATATTTATACTAATCTATACTATTTTTAAAAAAAATATATATCATAAAATTTCAACAAGGTTAATAAATACACTACTACATTAATCAACTAAAAAAAATAATAATTAGATATAATAATTATAGATTAATAAATTATTGATTAAAATATATTTATAAATGAGACAACTAGACTTAGTAACTAAATAATTTTTATTATTATTAAAAATTAACTAATAGGTAAATAATATATTTAAAAAATATATATATTTTTAAACTTAATAAAAAAATTGTTGAAAATTAATTTGTGAAAAAATATTAGTCAATAATAATAACAACAAAAAATGCAAGAATATTATGCAATCAATATAATATACAATACTTATAATAAAGTATAATATTTTTAATAAATATTTATCAATCAAGTGTTGCATTTGTCTTTAATAATATTACATTACATGACTAATCAATATATTTAAAAATACAATAATACTAATAATAAAGTGATAATAAATAATGAAAAATATTATTAATAATAAAAGTACAATAAGGGTAACATTATACATATTAATCTTAAGTACAATAATTATAGATTAATTATGTACTACTATATTGTGTATATACGGTATATATATTGATTATATATATATATTGATTATATATATATATTGATTATATATATATAATCAATAATATTATATTAGTTAACCTAGATAACTTGATAACTTTCACTTATATATATATATAAATAAGTTTATAACATACATTTACTATTATTATTATTAATACTTATTTTTAGTATACATTAATTTTTTTATTAAATATTATTTTACAAAATAATGAATTTTTCAATTTTAAATCATTTATTAAGTTTATGCTTACTATGTATTGGTATTGCTAATACTAGTCAAGTAATGGGATCGGTATACAAATATGGTAATCGCAAGTCGCCCGTTCCCGACAATCATATACAAAAATTACCGGACAATTGGTTTGACCAACGAGTCGATCACTTTAATACTAACGATACCCGTACTTTCAAACAGGTAATTGTGTTTTTAACAATTTATAATTTTATTAAAAAAAAAATATTGTAATATTAATAATTAAATTCGATTTATTTGAAACTATATATTCAAATATACAAAAAAAAATATATTAAATAATTATTATAGCGATATTTTATAAACGATAAATATTAATTGTGTTTTTTTTATAAATATTATAACATTAATAATAATATGATTTTTACAATTCAATAAAAAAATTATAGCGATATTTTTTAAACAATAAATATTACAAAACGGGTGGACCAGTATTTCTATTGGTTGACGGAGAAAATGAAGGCCAGGACTATCTAATAACCAAAGGTGCCGTCTCAGAGTATGCCAATCGGTTTAACGCATTGCTAGTAGATCTGGAGCACCGATACTATGGTCAATCGGTACCGACTAAGGATCTATCGGTTGAAAATATGCAATACCTGACCGTCGGACAGGCCCTGAAAGATACCGAACAGTTTATCGGGTATTTGAACCGAAAATTATCACTGAATAACAATACTACTAAATGGATAGCATTTGGCGGATCGTATGCGGGAAATTTGGTCGCCTTTTTACGGGAGAAATACCCGCATGCAGTGGCCGGTTCGGTGGCCAGTAGTGCACCGGTACAGGTGCGCTACGATTATAAAGAGTATTTTGTTGCTGTTAGCAAATCGTTGGGCACCGAGTGCTCAAATCAAATCAGGTATGATATATATAGTGTGTACACACACATACACACACATACACACACATACACACACATACACACACATACACACACATACACACACATACACACACATTCACACACATTCACACACATACACTACAAGCTTATTAATATAAAAGTTATTTTTTTGTTATTAATTAATTTTATCAAAAAACATCAGACTAGCTGTCAATCAATTGGAAAACCAGTTGCGGACACCCATAGGCTGGGAAGCCATCGGCAATGAACTGAATCTATGTTCGCCATTGAACGGTACGGATAAGCTATCGGTTAAGCATTTGATGTTTGGTTTGACCGCACCGTTTACTATTGCCGCCCAATATAATGGTCGGGCAAATACTATTGGTGTCGATCAGTTGTGCGCATTGATGACCAACGGTAAGGATGTATTGTCGCCATTGCAACGATACGCCAAAGTGGTCGGACAGTATTTCAATGGTCAGTGCATTGGCAGTAATTATAGTCAATATATTAATATAATCAAAGATATATCGATACCATCGCCTGCCGGCTGGAGTAAGTGTTTTATATACTATATAATTGTATTTATTTATTGAATTTATTCAAATTTATTTTATTAATTTCAATATTTTAATACTAAATTTATAATATAAATATATTATTGGCATACAGTTTAATACACTCTAGAGTATAAACTATGTATAAATATAAATACTATACTACTATACTTTATAAATATAAGTATATATAATATATACATGTATATTATAATTATACCTGTATATTATATATATACATATTATATAAATATATATACATTTTATTATAGTTATATACCTGTATATTATATATATATACACAGTATAATTTATAGCAACAATATATAAATTTAAATCTAATATATTATATTAAAATAACTTTAGATGAATTGTTTTTATAAAATGTTATAATACTATATTAATATTAGTGATAATATATATATATTATTTATAATATACTGTAATTTCATATAATTGTATTTATTATTATTATTATTATTTAGTCAGACAATGGACTTACCAGATGTGTACAGAGTTTGGCTACTTTTGGACAACTGATGACACGGACACACCGTTCGGACACAACATACCCATTGAATACTATCTGAGTCAATGCGCCGATATTTTTGGCAAACAATTTACCCCACAATTCATACAGAAAGCTATCGACCGGTTTAATGACAATTACGGCGGTTTCAAACTTAACGTTACGAATGTTGTGTTTCCTAACGGAGCTGTCGATCCCTATCATGAGCTGAGTATAGTCAAGGACCTGAACAACAGTACCCGAGCTATACTAATGAAAACAACTGGTCACGGAGCCGATATGGATCCGACATTGTTTACTGATCCCCGGGAGCTAACCGATGCCCGACTGGCCATTCAAAAACAAATACAATTGTTTTTACAATAAAACTATTATACTGTATATATAATATACAATACAATAATATACTGTAATTATAATCCCTTTTAAAATAACTATAAATTTAAATAACCAAAAATAAAATAAAATAATATGCAATTAACAGTACCCGTGCTATACTAATGAAAACTATGGCTCATGGAGCCGTAAATGGTTAAAACACTGTTCACTGATCCCCGGGAGCTAACTGATGCCCGACTGGCCATTCAAAAAAAAATTGAAATGTTTTTACAAATAGCATAATTTTTAATTATTTAAAAATTAAAAATTATATTATTTACAACAAAATTTTCTATTATTTATATAATTAACTATAAATAGTGGCATAAATGTTATACATATTTATAAATATACTAATAATATAAAAAAAATTATTAAACAGATAAACAATTATGTTTTTACAATAAAATTTATATTATACTACTAATAATTGAAAATAAATCATATATTGATAACCAATAACTAACAATAATAAAAACAAAATGTTGTTAAATAATATATCATTCATAAAAAAATAAAAAAATATTAAAAAATAATTATAATATCATAAAATTTATTTTTATATAGTTTTAAAAAAGTTTAAATGTTTAAATAACTTTTTTTAGTCACTTAATAAATATAATACGTTGTAAATTAAATTTTTTAATTATATAATTAATTAATATATAATTATATTGATTTTTAATTCAATTTTATCTTAAGTGGTACTTTTTTAACTAAATATATATATATATTATATAATATAATAATCATATTAGAAAATTAATAAACAGATAAAAAAAATAAAATAAAAAATAAAAGTACAATAAGGTTATGATATAATCAAATAATAGGAGTATATATATATATAATCTTTACATTTATATATATATATATATATACATGTTATATTTTACATGTTACATTATATATATACATATATACATACATGAAATACATACTTAACCTAAATGAACTAAAAAAATTTCATTTATATATATATATAATACATATATAAATATTAAAATATTTTTTAAAAATTATTATATTATAACTATTGCTTTCAAATATAATAAGTTATAGTTTATTAATAAAAAAATATTTCCACACAAAAAATAAAAATGAATTTTTCAATTTTAAATGCTTTATTAACTTTATCAATACTATACGGCACATGTATACCAATATTTGGATCGGTATACAAATACGGTATGTTTCGGTCACCCGTTCCCGACAATCATATCCAAACATTACCGGATAATTGGTTTGACAATCAACGAGTCGATCACTTTAACACTAGCGATACCCGTACTTACAAACAGGTAATTGTTTTTTTGTTTTATTTAAAATGATTTTTTTTTTAAAAATATTTCATTACTTCATTACATATCTAACAAACAAAATTATAGCGATATTTTATAAACGATAAATATTACAAAACGGGTGGACCAGTGTTTGTATTGGTTGACGGAGAAAGTGAGGCCAGCGATTATTTTATAACAGTGGGTGCCGTCTCAGAGTATGCCAAACAGTTTAACGCATTGACAGTAGATCTGGAGCACCGATACTATGGTCATTCAGTACCGACTGAGGATCTATCGGTTGAAAATTTAAGATACCTGACCGTCGGACAGGCCCTGAAAGATACCGAACAGTTTATCGGATATTTGAACCGAAAATTATCGCTGACTAACAATACTAGATGGATAGCATTTGGCGGTTCGTATGCGGGAAATTTGGTCGCCTTTTTACGTGAGAAATACCCGCACGCAGTGAGCGGTTCGGTGGCCAGTAGTGCACCGGTTGAGGGACGTTATAATTATAGGGAATATTTTGGTGCTGTTGGCAGAGTCCTGGGCTCTGAGTGCTCAAAACAAGTCAGGTATGACACACACACACACACACACACACACACACACACACACACACACACACACACACACACACACACACACACACACACACACACACACACACACACACACACACACACACACACACACACACACACACACACACACACACACACACACACACACACACACACACACACACACACACACACACACACAGACACACACACACACAGACACACATACATACAAACACACACACACATACATACATACATACATACATACACACAAACACGCACACTTCAGGCTTATTAATATACATTTTTTTGTTAGTAAATTATTTTATTATTAATTTTTATAAAAAAAAACTCCAGACTAGCTATCAATCAATTGGAAATATATATATATAATTTAATTTATATACTATTTTATTAAATATTATTATTATTATTATTATATTTTTTTGTTACCACATAGAGAAGCTATCAATCAATTGGAGTTACAGATAAAGACACCGAAAAGTTGGTCGACCATCGACCGAGAGTTCAATCTGTGTGCACCGTTGAACGGTACGGACAGGCTATCGGTAAACCAGTTGATGTGGTCGCTGGCCTTACCGTTTGCAATAGCCGCCCAATACAATGGAGGCGGAAGTATGATTGGCGTCGATCAGGTATGCTCGTTGATGACCACTGGTCAGGAAGTATGGACACCATTGCAACGCTACGCCAAAGTTGTCGGACAGTTCAACAAAGGTGTTTGCCTTACGTATGATTACAATGAATACATTACTAGAATAAAACAGTCGTCAAAGACAGCACCGGGATTTGTTGGCGGAGGTAAGTGTTAGACTGTATATTAAATAAAATAAATATATGATAATTTTTATATATAACAATTGTTATTTTACTTTTTTATAATTTTATATACTATATATAATAATAATAGTAATAAAAATAATTATTATTATTATTTTTTATTTTTATTTTTTTCCATTAATAGCCCGACAATGGATTTATCAGACATGCAGTGAGTTTGGCTACTTTAGGCCCACTGACCATCCGGACAGTCCGTTCGGACACAGTCTACCCATTGATTATTTTATCAGTCAATGTGCGGATATTTTTGGCAAACAGTTTACCCGGCAGTCCATACAGAAATCGGTCGACCGGTTTAACACCGATTACGGCGGTTCTAAACCCAACCTCACGAATGTTGTCTTTCCTAACGGCGCTGTCGATCCGTGGCATGAGTTAAGTGTATTGAATGATCTGAACAACAGTTCGCGGGCTATACTAATGAAAACTACGGCACATGGAGCCGATATGGCTAAAACATTGTTCACTGATCCCCGGGAGCTAACTGATTGTCGACTGGCCATTCAAAAACAAATTGAAATTTTTTTACAATAAAATTATTTTTTAATCATTTAATAATTTAAGATAATAATAAATAATTTATTACCAACAACAACAAAAAACACAACTAACAATTTTAAATTATTATTATATATATACAGTCGATGACAAAATTGGTGAACGAGGTTTTTTGTGTATATCTTTAGAATGGAAAGGAACTAGAACAAAAAAATTTGTTTGCTACTATTATTTATTGGGACGGTCAGTTTGGTATTGTCACTTTTTTTGTAATTGGGCACAGGTATGCAAGGACAGGGATGGTCAATATCTCAAAAACTATAATAGATATTAAAGTTTTATAAATTGCTAATTATACTAAATTAAAAAATTTTGGACACGTGTTTTAGCATTTTTAATTTTATTGTAAAGTATTCGAACAAAATTAATTTGTTTGTTGGAAAAATCAAAATTTAGGAGGCCATATCTTTTAAACGCATTGATTTATCATGATTAAGTTAATTGATTTAAATTCTATATTTTAGTAGTAATAATTCATCTATACATTAAATTTAGTTAGCTTGTTTAGTTTTTTTAAAATTTGTAAATTAATTTTTTTCTATTGTAATTAAGTACTAATTATTGTCTTCTATTGCATAACATTGATAACAAAATCTATAAATAATTATAATAGAAAAAAATTAATTTACAAATATTTAAAAAACTAAACAAGCTAACTAAATTTAATGTTTAGATGAATTGTTAGTACTAAAATATAGAATTTAAATCAATTAACTAAATCATGATAAATCAATGCGTTTAAAAGATATGGCCTCCTAATTTTTTATTTTTGCAACAAACAAATTAATTTTGTTCGAATACTTTACAATAAAATTAAAAATGCTAAAACACGTGTCCAAAATTTTTTAATTTAGTATAATTAGCAATTTATAAAACTTTAATATCTATTATAGTTTTTGAGATATTGACCATCCCTGTCCTTGCATACCTGTGCCCAATTACAAAAAAGTGACAATAACAAACTGACCGTCCCAATAAATAATAGTAGCAAACAAATTTTTTTGTTCTAGTTCCTTTCCATTCTAAAGATATACACAAAAAACCTCGTTCACCAATTTTGTCATCGACTGTATATAAATTATATATTTATATAATATATAAGCTATTATACATATTTAGAAAATATATTTATCATATAAAAAATTATTTAACACATAAACAAATATGTTTTTATAATAATAATAATTAAAAATAAATGATATATTGATATAACCAAAAAAAACTAACAATAAAAACAATATGTTGTGCAAATATATAATTTAATTTATTAACTATTTATATAATATTATAATAATATGTTATAATAATAATAAAAAATATCATTCAATTGATTTGCATTTCAATTATTTTTATTAGATATGTTGTAAAAATTATAATACAATAACTGATATAGTAATAATAATAAAAAAGTTTCAATATTATTAAAAACAAAGTTTAAATAATATATCAGTGAATGTATTTAAAAAAATTGTAAAAAATCAAAACTATAAATAATTATAATATCATATTTTTATACAGTTTAAAAAATGTTAATATTTTTTTAATAAAAATACAAACTTTTTTAGTTGCTTAATAAATATAATAAATTGTAATTTAAATTTAATAATTAATTAATATGTAATTATATTGATTTTTAACTCAATTTATCTCAAGTGGTTTTTTAAATATATATATATATATATATATATATATATATATATATATATATATATATATATATATAATATACTTATAGTTATAATAATGATATTGAAAATTAATAAACAGATAAAAAAATAAAAATAAAAGTACAATAAGGTTATGATACTACACTTAATCAAATAATAGGTAAATATATATATAATCTTATATCAATATATATATATTTATTTATATATAAATTTATATATATATATACTTAAGTTATTACTTAACCTAAATGAACTAAAAATTTCATTTATTTATAATATATATAAAAACTAAAATATTTATTTTAAAAAATTATTATATTATAACTAATTTTATTTTTCAAAATATAAGTTATAGTTTATTAATAAACATATTTCCACAAACAAAAAAATAAAAATGAATTTTTCAATTTTAAATGCTTTATTAACTTTATCAATACTATACGGCACATGTATACCAATATTTGGATCGGTATACAAATACGGTATATTTCGGTCACCCGTTCCCGACAATCATATTCATACATCACCGGACAATTGGTATGACAATCAACGAGTGGATCACTTTAATACTAGCGATACCCGTACTTACAAACAGGTAATTGTTTTTTTGTTTTATTTATAAATTAAAAAAAAATATTGTAATATTAATAAAAATTTAATTTTTACTATACTATCAAACAAACACAAAAAAATATAGCGATATTTTATTAATGATAAATATTACAAAACGGGTGGACCAGTATTTCTATTGGTTGACGGAGAAAGTGAGGCCAGCGATTATTTTATAACAACGGGTGCCGTCTCAGAGTATGCCAAACAGTTTAACGCATTGCTAGTAGATCTGGAGCACCGATACTATGGTCATTCGGTACCGACTGAGGATCTATCGGTTGATAATTTAAGATACCTGACCGTCGGACAGGCCCTGAAAGATACCGAACAGTTTATCGGCTATTTGAACAAAAAGCTTGCACTGAATAACAATACTAAATGGATAGCATTTGGCGGTTCATATCCGGGAAATTTGGTTGCTTTTCTGCGGGAAAAATACCCGCACGCAGTGGCCGGTTCGGTGGCCAGTAGTGCACCGGTTGAGGCACGCTATAATAATAGGGAATATTTTGGCGCAGTTGGCAGAGCCATGGGTGCCGAGTGCTCAAAACAAGTCAGGTATATATATATATATATATATATATAGGCTTAACATATAATTTAATTTATATACTATTTTATTAAATATTATTATTTTTAATTTTTTTTGTAACCTCATAGAGAAGCTATCAATCAATTGGAGTTACAGATAAAAACACCGAAAAGTTGGCCGACCATCGACCGAGAGCTGAATCTGTGTGGACCGTTCAACGGCACCGATAGGCAATCGGTAGGCCAATTGATTTGGTCGTTGGCCATACCGTTTGCAACGGCTGCCCAATACAATGGACGCGGAAATACTATTGGCGTCGAACAGGTATGCGCTCTGATGACCACCGGTCAGGATGTATGGACACCATTGCAACGCTATGCCAAAGTTATCGGACAGTTCAACAAAGGCGGTTGCCTTACGTATGATTACAATGAATTGATTACGGAAATCAAAAAGTCGTCAAAGACAGCACCGGGAGTTGTTGTCGGGGGTAAGTGTTATACTATATTGATATATATATTGATATATACAGGGGTGAGTGTTATCATAAGGAATACACTTAGGTTTACGTTTGCGATTTCCTTAAGTTAAGTATAGAGTAGCGTTACTACAAAATATTTTGTTTTACGCAAACGTAACTCTTTTTGTAGTGATAATAATACAGTGTTTTATTAAATTTATAAGTATAAATAGTTTAAACTATAAAATAAACATTACTATCAATGTTAAAGTATAGCTAAAGTTGGGTTAAAGCTATCCTAACTTTACACCTAACTCTAGCACTAACTTGTTTTCTTAACACACTTTTCACCTAAAAACCAGTTTTGTATACTTAAGTCCTCTCCTAACTTACCCGTAAACCTAACTTGCTAAAATGTTTTATAACACAGGATTTCACTTAAGTGAGGAGTTAAGTGCACGCAAGTTACGAATCTTAGTTGATAACACGCCGCCCAGTATATTATATATTATTAAAACTAAAATTAATAATTATTATAATATGTTTTTTAAATATATTAATTAAATTCATTATTATTAGTATAAAAAAATTAATATTAATATTTATTAACTAATTATATAAATTAAGTAATAATATTTATTATATAAAAAATACTAAATTAAAACTAATTTTTTATTTTTTTTAAATATCTATTTTATATATTATCGTATAATTATTATCAATTTATTATAAAGTTATATATTATTAAAACTTTATAATAAATATTATTATTTAATTTATATAATTAGTTAATAAATACTAATATTAATTTTTCATATCTTTTATTAATCAATTTAATTAGTATATTAAAAACATATTATATAACAATAGTTATTTTACTTTTAATAATTTTATATATTATATATGTAATAATAAAAATAAAAATAATTATTATTTTTTATTTATATTTTTTACTCAAATAGCCCGACAATGGATTTACCAGACATGCAGTGAGTTTGCCTACTTTAGGCCCACTGACCATCCGGACAGTCCGTTCGGACACAGCCTAAACATTGATTATTATACTACTCAATGCGTGGATATTTTTGGCAAACAGTTTACCCGGGAGTCCATACAGAAATCGGTCGACCGGTTTAACGCCAATTATGGCGGTTCTAAACCCAACCTCACGAATGTTGTCTTTCCTAACGGCGCTGTCGATCCGTGGCATGAGTTGAGTGTATTGAAAGATCTGAACAACAGTTCGCGGGCTATACTAATGAAAACTACGGCTCATGGAGCCGATATGGACGGGACTAGATTTACCGATCCACGGGAGCTAACCGATGCCCGACTGGCCATTGAACAGCAAATCAAATTGTTTTTACAATAAATTTTAATTATACATGTACTACATGTATATCAATATATTATTATATAAGTTATTAAACAAAACAAAAATTTTAACTAAATTATATAATAATTGTATTTAATTTTATTTTGTAATAATAATAATAAATATATATCTATATATTGAAAATTAATATTTAATAATTAGTATATAATAAACACAAAAATTATTAATATAAAACTAACTTATTTTTTAAAACAATATAAATTATTTCAAACAATATAATTATTTATTGCACTCTACTATATAAAGATAATAACAATTTATAATTTAAAAGTTATCTATAATTTATTTTATTTCTATTTCAATAGGTTTCAATATTAGATAAAATTAATAATAGTAATTGAACTAGCTTAATCAATTAATAGAAAGTTTAATACTAAATAAGATTAATAAAATAAAGTACTTAACCTTGATATTTTAATTTAATAGATTTTTAATATTGTTAGATACAGTATATTGTCAAGTATTAATATATTTATATAGATATATATAATTTTTATTTTATTATTTAGCAATTATTTTTTTAAGACATCTAAAATATTTCAATTAATATAATAAAATATTTAAAATTAAAATTTTAATAATGAAATTTTCACTATTAAATGTCTTATTTATAGTATTTATATTATACGGCACCGGTAGTAGTAGTAGTAGTAGTGCCCGTAGACTACTATTTCGTGGCCGACCAGTCAACAGATACGGTATGCTTCGGCCACCCGTTCCCGACAATTATGTCAATACATTAGCCGAAAATTGGTATAACCAACGAGTCGATCATTTTAATACTAGCGATACCCGTACTTTCAAACAGGTAATTGTGTTATTATTTTAAATTATTTTTTTATCTATACTAATAAATTTTTTATAATAATTATATTACAACACATACACACACACATAAATACACACACTCATACATACACAAACAAACATATACACATATACACATATACACATATACACATATACACATATACACATATACACATATACACATATACACATATACACATATACACATATACACATATACACATATACACATATACACATATACACATATACACATATACACATATACACATATACACATATACACATATACACATATACACATATACACATATACACATATACACATATACACATATACACATATACACATATACACATATACACATATACACATATACACATATACACATATACACATATACACATATACACATATACACATATACACATATACACATATACATACATACACACACACTAACTCACACAAATAAATAAACATACACACACATAAATATATACATACACACACACTAACTCACACACATACAAACACACACCCACACAATAAATCATTAGCTTTATTTTGTAAATCATGAACACTATAAAACTGGTGGACCGGTATTTCTAATGTTGGGCGGAGAGGGTGCCTCCAGTGACTACTTTATCAGATCGGGTGCTATTGCCACGTATGCCAAAAAGTTTAACGCTTTGACTGTAGAACTGGAGCACCGATACTATGGCCGATCGGTACCGACTGTGGATTTATCGGTTGATAATCTACGCTATCTATCCAGCGAACAGGCGCTCAAAGATGCCGAACAGTTTGTCCAGTTTCTGGTCGCCGATCGGTTAGCACTGGCCAATAGTAAATGGATTGTATTTGGCGGGTCCTATTCGGGAGCACTGGCCGCTTGGTTTCGCGAGAAATATCCCAATGCAGTGAACGGTGCTGTGGCCAGCAGTGGTCCGGTTGAGGCCCGATATGATTTCAAAGAGTATTTGGGTGTTGTCAGCCAATCGTTGGGCACCGACTGCTCCAATCAGATCAGGTATGCACCACAAAAAAAACTACTGTATTAGTGTACTAATCAATTAACGTAATAACACATATAGAGAGGCTGTCCATCAATTGGAGGCTCAGTTGAAGACACCCGAGGGCTGGCAGTCAATCGATAAAGAGCTCAAACTGTGTACACCGTTGAACGGCTCGGACACGGCTTCGGTAAACAATCTAATGGAAACACTGACCGATCCGATAGCATCGGCCGTACAATATAATAGTTCAAACGGTAACAGTATAGGTCGGGTATGTTCAGTGATGACCAATACTAAGGACGGCCGGACACCATTGGAACGGTATGTCAAACTTCAGCTACAGGTACTGCACGGCGGCAGTAAATGTCTGGACTATGATTATATGAAAATGATTGACGAGATTAGACAGTCGTCTAAGACATCGACATCAGTGAGAACCGGGAGTAAGTGTTTTTTAATAAAAACACTAAAATAGATATATTATTAGGGGCTGTTCACCATATTATGTTCGCACTTTTTTAAAAAGAAATCTATACCCCCTTTCTCCCCTATGTTCGCAAGTAGTCATTGTCAAAAAATTAATACGTTCACATGTCCCTAACAGCTAACCCCATCCCCTTCCCCACTAAATAATAAAATATCTAAATGCAAACGTTTTTAAGATCTATACCCCTCCCCTCCACCCCTGGTTCGTAAAAGTTCGCTTTGGCCGACCCCCCTCCTCCCATTAAGTGCGAACGTAATATGTGAGTCACCCCTTATTAAAAATAATTTTTACAAAAATATATTAAAGAAATTATAACTTTTCTATGAAGTGAGACAATGGACTTACCAGACATGCACTGAGTTTGGCTACTATCAGACCACTGGCCTACCGGACAGTCCATTTGGACACAACATACCCATTGATTATTTTAGTAAACAATGTACGGATATTTTTGGCAAACAATTCAATGCCGACTACATCCAGAAAGCCGTCCAAACGACTAACACCTATTACGGTGGTGTCAAACCTACCGTAACTAAAGTAGTTTTTCCCAATGGATCAACTGATCCGTGGCATGCGTTGAGCGTATTGAAGGACCTGAACAATAGTACCCGTGCTGTACTAATTCACGGCACCTCCCATTGTGTGGATATGTATGCTCCCAGTGCTAATGATCCCCATGAGCTGACCGATGCCCGTCAAACCATTGAAAAACAATTGCAATTGTTTTTGCAATAAAACTAATAATAAAACTATTTTTTGGTAGTTTGAAAATCTTAAAATATTATTAAACATTATATACTTTTATTATTATTAGTATTATTAAATTGGTTTTAATTTAATTTGTCTAAACTTAACAACAAATTATATAAAATTATATAAATAAAATATTGGAATTTTATTTATTTTTTTTGAATTATGTACAGATAGGCAATCTATATACAAATAATATTGGTATACATATGGTATATATAAAATTTATAATAATATATAACTAAAAAAATAAAGTTAAAATAAGAATAATTGATTCATTAAAATTTAATTAAAAATGTCATATTTTGAGATATCGATAAAACAAGAATAATTGATAAATTTTGAGTTAAAGTTAAAAAAGATTAATTGTTTCATTATATTTAACTTTGCTTTAAATTAAAATTGAAAATATAACTAAATTTACAGTATTTAGATTTGTATTAGTCTGATTTTTAATTAAAAGCGTCTGACAAACAAAAAATACATAACTATTGTCTTAATGTTATCTTGATTATTATTATTATTATTAAATTATTTTAGTTTTATTTATTATAAAAAATGACTAGTAAATATTTATCTTAAAATGCATAAAATTTATATATACACTATATATACTGTATATATATATAATTTTAATTAAAATAAATAATGTAAATAATGTATTTGTATATTAGTAAAATAAATTTTTTTAATTTTCGATTTTAAATTTTTGTTCCCGGATGTTTTTTTTGTTAAATTATTATATAAATCAAGTATTTGCTATTTAAATAAAATAAACATTTTTAAATATCTAATCAAAAATATTTTAATAAATTCAATTAATAATTGATTAACATATGTGTGAATTTTTAATTGACGTTAATATATATCAATGATATCATATAATACGTAAAAATACTGTTTATTTATAGTTAATTTTTTTCTGAAAATCAATGGGGGATTGGGGGGGGGTCGAAAGAAAATTACTTAAATTTCTGTATATTCCTATTTAAATACATGGAAATTCCCAACAAAAATAATAATTTTATTTTTAAACATTACTAATAATTTCCACAATTTTTTTTAAATATTCTCTTAAATTATTTATTAAATTTTAAACTACATATAAGTAATATATATATATATATATATCTATTTATTTATACTGTATATAAATTACTAGAAATTTTCTTTTTGGTGAAAATTGTTAGAAATATTTAGTATTTCATTTATTTTTGTAAATATTAAAATAACTAAAACTTACTAAAAAACTCTAACAAATTAAATATTATATTATAAAATAATTTTTTAATTAAATGGAAATTATTTTTTTTAATTAAATTTCACTCCATTTTTTTAATAGTAATAAAAATTTTAATAATTATTATTTAAATATAGTTATTAATCATTTATAAATTTAAACATTTTAAATAAAATAAAGTAATACACTATTTTGGTAGTAGTTTATATATATATATTTTAGTAAACAATTGTTATCATATATACTGATATATATATATATATATATATAAATAATGATTTTACATATTGTATTGTTAGTTACATTAAACGGTATTGTATATAATAATATTATTTTAATTAATCACATTTTAAGTTTAATATTCAATATACCGGTATATATATATATTGAAAAATTCAAAATAACTATTTAGTTTAATAATTTTTTTTTTATAAATAATTACTTTTGTTTTTTATTTTAGTTATACTGTATATAGATATAAAACTTAATCTATTAAGTAATCAATCTATATTTAAAATCTATTAAAAAGTATTTAAAAACTATATATATATTTTTGTTTTATATAATTTACTTTACAATTTTTGCTCTCAATCAAACTACTAGTCGTTAGCCTATCGATGGGTAATCAGGAATGCGATCCTAAAATGGAGGACAGGGTTAGCAAACATTTCAATCAATTAACTTTAGCCGATCGCCAAAATCCGCATCCGCTGACCAAAGAGGAACAGTTAGAATATTGCGAAAAGTAAACAAATAATAATAATAATAATAATAAATATTTTTAAATATTTTTATCATTGAAATAATAATTTAATTTTTTTTATTTGGTTTTTAGATACAAACTGACCGAACTATTAAAGTATGCCAACGATGTGATCACATGTGTTGGCAAATCGGCAAAACTAAAACATCTGATACTATTGTCGGTCAAAGATACTAAAGATCCCGAAATTTGCGAAGAGTTGGCCGATAAACCCGAAGTGTTGGCCGAATTTCGTAAGAAATCAAAACAAATGCATACAATTACTAGTAAAATATACGATGTTATGGCCGATGGTATCAAATCGGATACTAAACTAACGGTATCGATGTTTAATTGGTAATTGTGTTTATCAAGATATAACACTTTAAGATAATAGTCTCTGTCTGTCTGTCTGTCTGTCTGTCTGTCTGTCTGTCTGTCTGTCTGTCTGTCTGTCTGTCTGTCTGTCTGTCTGTCTGTCTGTCTGTCTGTCTGTCTGTCTGTCTGTCTGTCTGTCTGTCTGTCTGTCTGTCTGTCTGTCTGTCTGTCTGTCTGTCTGTCTGTCTGTCTGTCTGTCTGTCTGTCTGTCTGTCTGTCTGTCTGTCTGTCTGTCTGTCTGTCTGTCTGTCTGTCTGTCTGTCTGTCTGTCTGTCTGTCTGTCTGTCTGTCTGTCTGTCTGTCTGTCTGTCTGTCTGTCTGTCTGTCTGTCTGTCTGTCTGTCTGTCTGTCTGTCTGTCTGTCTGTCTGTCTGTCTGTCTGTCTGTCTGTCTGTCTGTCTGTCTGTCTGTCTGTCTGTCTGTCTGTCTGTCTGTCTGTCTGTCTGTCTGTCTGTCTGTCTGTCTGTCTGTCTGTCTGTCTGTCTGTCTGTCTGTCTGTCTGTCTGTCTGTCTGTCTGTCTGTCTGTCTGTCTGTCTGTCTGTCTGTCTGTCTGTCTGTCTGTCTGTCTGACTACTAACTACTAACTAGTTATTATTATTATAACGATTTGATTTTTTGTTTTTAGTTAAATATTAAAATAATAATTATTTTTTAAAACTTAGTTATCTTAAAAAATGGTCGACAGAAATAAGTGCCATATTATCGCCAGAAGCTCGTGAATATCATAATAAACGATTCGATAGTACAACCGGTATGGTTATCAACTATCTGAACGATGGCGGCATCAAAACGGCCGATAAGTGTGATTGGCCTAAACCTGGCCGACAAAAAAACAAAATTCCCGATTATTCTACAATGTATTTTGTAGCTAAAGTTTATGCAAATATTTATAATTAAAAAATAATAAATATTTATTTTCAAAAAAAAATTACATAAATAAAAATAAAAATTATTGTATGTAATGATATGTTAATTTGTTTAACATATAAATAAAATTTTAATTACAAAACATTAGATATATAGTAATTATTATTATTATTATTATTATTATTATTATTATTATTATTATTATTATTATTATTATTATTATTATTATTATTATTATTATTATTATTATTATTATTATTATTATTATTATTATTATTATTATTATTATTATTATTATTATTATTATTATTATTATTATTATTATTATTATTATTATTATTATTATTATTATTATTATTATTATTATTTTATTATTATTATTTTATTATTATTATTTTATTATTACTATTTTATTATTATTATTATAAAACTATTAAAGTGTTATTAAATTATTATATGAATCAAGTATTTGTTATTGTAATAAATTTAATTAAATAATTTTTTAATTAAAATGCAATTAATATATATTTTTTTAATAAATATTATTTCCTGTACACTTTTTTTAATTAAATTTCAGTCCATTTTTTTAATAGTAAAAAAATTTAACAGTTATTATTTAAATATAGTTATTAATCATTTATAAGTTTAAAACATTTTTAATAAAGTAATACACAGTAATAACTATACAATTGTTATCATATATACTGAAAATATATTTATAAATAATGATTTTACATATAGTATTGTTAGTTACATTAAACGGTATTTTATATAATAATTTTATTTTAATTAATCACATTTTAAGTTTAACATTCAATATATTTTTATATACATGTATATATATATATAAAATAATGCCATATTGTATATTTATTATTAAGTATTTTAAAAACTTATATATAAATATTTTTGTTTTTACTTTACTTTTATTTTATCAATTTTTATCACATTTTAAGCTTAATATACCGGTATATATATATATATATTAATATATTGTAAAATTCAAAATAACTATTTAGATTAATAATTTTTTAAAAAATAATTACTTTAGTTTTTTATTTTAGTTATACTGTATATAGATATAAAATAATCTATAATTGTATATAAGTATTTTAAAAACTATATATTTTTGTTTTAAGTTATTTTACATTTTTTTTTAATTTTGTTTATCAATTTACTAGTAGTCGTAAGCTTATCGGGTAATCAGGAATGCGATCATAAAATGGAGGACAGGGTTAGCAAACATTTCAATCAATTGACTTTTGCCGACCGCCATAACCCGTATCCGCTGACCAAAGAGGAACAGTTAGAATATTGCAAAAAGTAAACAAACAAAAAATAATAATATCAATAAATAAATTTAAAAAAATTAATTTTTATATATTATTATTATCATTGAAATACTAATTTAATTAGTTTTTAATTTTTTAATTAATTATTTATTTTTTTTTAATTTTTAGATTCAAACTGACCGAACTATTAAAGCATGCCAACGATGTGATCACATGTGTGGCCAAAACGGCAAAACTGAAACATCTGATACTAATATCAGTCAAAGATACTAAAGATCCCGAAGTTTGCGAAGAGTTGGCCGAAAAACCGGAACTGTTGGCCGAATTTCGTAAGAAATCCAAACAAATGCTAACAATTCGTAATAAAATATACGATGTTATGGCCGATGGTATTAAAAATGATACTAAACTAACGGTATCGATGTTTAATTGGTAATTATTTTGGGGGGGGGGGTGGGGAGTGGGCTGGGGTGGGGGGTTACTTATTATGATGATGACCATGATCATCATGTTTTTGTTGTTGAGTTACTATTTAAAAAAAATTAATTTATATGTATAGTTATCTTAAAAAATGGTCGACCGAAATAAGTGCCCTATTATCACCAGAAGCTCGTGAATATCATAATAAACGTTTCGATAGTACAACCGGTATGGTTATCAACTATCTGAACGATGGCGGCATCAAAACAGCCGATAAGTGTGATTGGCCTAAACCTGGACGACACCAAAACAAAGTTCCCGATTATTCCTCAATGTATTTTGCAGCTAAAGTTTATTCAAATATTTATAATTAAAAAAATTAAATATTAATTTATTTTTAAAAAAAATAAATAAATAAATGAATAAAAATAAAAGTTATAATGTACTGATAATTTAATTTGTTTAACATAAATAAAATTTTAATTACAAAGCATTAGATATATAGTTATTATTATTATTATTATTTATTATTATTATTATTATTATTAACAATAACTATTATATTGTTAATAATAATAATAATAATAATAATGTATTAGTATATTAGTAAAATAACTTCTTTTTTTTTGATTAAATTATTATATAAATCAAGTATTTGCTATTTTAAAAAAAACATTTAAAATATCTAATCAAAAAAAAAAATAATATATTTAATTAAATAATTGATTAACATATGTGTGAATTATATACTGATATATACCACTATATAGCTTACACTATATGAAATAATTTGTTAATTAAATGGCAATTAATTTTTTTTTAAAATTCCTATACGGTTTTTATAATTAAATTTTAGACTATTTTTTTTAATAATAATAATAATAATTTTAGTAATTATTATTTAAATAACTTTAGAATATTATTATTAATCATTTGTAAATTAAAACATTTTTAATAAAATAAAGTAATACTCTATTTTTAGCATTAGTTTATATATATATATATATATTTTTTAAAAAAAAGTATACAAATAATAAAATTTAATTTGTTATCATCATATATATACTGATATAATAATGATTTTACATATAGTATTGTTAGTTACATTAAACGGTATTGTATATAATAATAATAATAATATTTTTAAGTTTAATATTCAAATATCTAAATATATTAAAAAAATAACTATTTATTTTTATTAAATTATTTATTTTAATAGTTAGTTTTTGTAATTATTTTAGTTGTTGTATATATATATATATATATATATATATATAATATTGTAGTATATATTGTATATTTAAATTATATAAATATATTTAAAAACTTATTTAAAAAATATTTTTGTTTTAAAATCTATTTTACTGTTTTTTTTTCTCATCAATTTACTACTAGTCGTAAGCTTATCGGGTAATCGGGAATGCGATCCTATAATGGAGGACAGGGTTAGCAAATATTTCGATCAATTGACTTTTGCCGACCGCCATAACCCGCATCCGATAACCAAAGATGAACAGTTAGATTATTGCGATAAGTAAATAAAATAATAATAATAATAAATAAATATTTTATTTTTATATATTATTATCATTGAAATAATAATTTAATTATTTTTTTTTATTTTTTTTAGATACAAACTGAACGAACTATTAAAGTTTACCAACGATGTGGTCGCATGTGTGGCCAAAACCGGTAAACTTAAACGTCTAATACTATTGTCAGTGAAAGAGACAAAAGATCCCGAAGTTTGCGAAGAGTTGGCCGATAAACCCGAACTGTTGAGCGAATATCGTAATAAATCACAGCAAATGCTGGCAATCGGTAATAAAATGTTTGATGTTATGGCCGATGGTATCAAATCGGATACTAAACTAACGGTATCGATGTTTAATTGGTAATTTTTTATGGGGAGGGCGAGTGTGGGGGTTACTTATTATGATGACCATGATCATCATTTTTGTTGTTGTTGTTGAGTTAATTTTTTTTAAAAAAATTAATTTATATGTATAGTTATCTTAAAAAATGGTCGACCGAAATATGCGCCCTATTATCACCAGAAGCTCGATACTATCATATTAAACGTTTCGATAGTACAACCGGTATGGTTATCGACTATCTTAACAACGATAGCGGCATTCAAACGGCCAGTGAATGTGATTGGCCTAAATCTGGCCGACCAAACAATGCTACCGATTATTCATCAATGTATTTTTTAGCTAAAGTTTATTCAAATATTTATGATTAAAAAAAACTAAATATTTATTTTCAAAAAATAAATTAATTAATTAATTAAAAAAATAAAAATTATTGTAATCGTAAGTTATTTTGTTTAACATATATATAAAATTTTAATTACAGATACATAGCAATTACATTTACATTACATTTTATATTTATTTAGTAACAATTATTTTATTAGATTATAATTTTACTAAATAAATAATCATAGATTATATTTATATAGATGTATGTTATTTTTTTATATAACATTATTTAAATACATATATATACTATTATTTTTTTAAATATTTAATTATAAGTAAAAATTGTATAAATATAATCACAAAAAAAAATAAAACACTTAATGTTTTTAGTTTTATTTATTTTTAAAATTAATATATTTATAAAATACAAAAAAAATAACTATTAATTATTAATAGTTTATTACAATTCAAAAAAAACTAATTGTAAAACAAATAAGTATTTAAAAAAAATAATTAAGTGATAATTACAGTACAGTATTATTATTATTATTATTTCCTATTATATATCCTAATTGATTACTTAGTGGATATCGGTTGTGGTGTTGGGAATGGTATCGGTTGTGGTGGTGTTGGCGATGGTATCGGTTGTGGTGTTGGTGGCGATGGTATCGGTTGTGGTGTTGGTGGCGATGGTATCGGTTGTGGTGTTGGTGGCGATGGTATCGGTTGTGGTGTTGGTGGCGATGGTATCGGTTGTGGTGTTGGTGGCGATGGTATCGGTTGTGGTGTTGGTGGCGATGGTATCGGTTGTGGTGTTGGTGGCGATGGTATCGGTTGTGGTGTTGGTGGCGATGGTATCGGTTGTGGTGTTGGTGGCGATGGTATCGGTTGTGGTGTTGGTGGCGATGGTATCGGTTGTGGTGTTGGTGGCGATGGTATCGGTTGTGGTGTTGGTGGCGATGGTATCGGTTGTGGTGTTGGTGGCGGTAGATATGTCGTCATCGATGAACAGATGTTTGTTGTTTTTCGTCGTCTTTCGTACCATTTTTATCGTGCGATTCTTCTTCAACTTCTTCTTCTTCGTCATGCTTTGCCTTTTGTCGCCGCTTTTCGTCCGCTTTTCATGAGTCGGAGGCGACGACAACGGCAACGGCTTTCTTCGTTTATTTTCTTTTCTGTTTTTATTATTATTATTATTATTATTATTACCATCAGTTGTAGTGGCCGTAGTAGTCATCGTCGTCGTCATTGCAACAACTGTTTCGCTGTTGTTGTTGTTGTCGATGATATTCTGCGGTAATGGTTGAGTGGCCGCCGCCACCAACCTATCTATGGTGGTGGAGGTCGTGGTCGACGATGACGCTGATGGCACTGACTTTCTAGCCATCAACGGCTGCGGCGATAATATACTTGACGTCGGTATCGGTGAAGAGTGTCGTCGACTAACAACACAAGTGTTGTTGTTGTTGTTGTCCGCCGTCGTCACCGCCGACTCCAACAACACTGATCTCAAACTCTGGTAACTATTGTCAAACTTGTCGACCGCTGCCGTTATGGCCGCTTGGCTTTCATTTTGTTCGGTTTTCAACGTTTTGATGACCAGTCGTCCGGCTTCACTGGCATCGGACAGTACAGACAATTTAGTTTCCAGTGTTTTGATTTGCCGACCCTTAACATCCAACTCATCCATCAGTTGCTTAACAACTAACTCGTGTTGTTGTTGTTGTTGTCGTAGTCGTCGGCGATTCTCCTCCTCCTTGTCTGCGGTCATGACTGTTGACGGCCGCTGATTACGATGACCGTCATCGCCGCCGACAGCCATACGGTGATCATTGATTGTTGTTGTGGACACCGTTTTCTGATAGTCATTGACCAATCGCCGAATCAGCGACCGCTGGCCAAGTAATATATCGGTCATTACTTGAAAATCTTTATCGCAATCTATCGATAGGATTGTCGCTGTATTGTTATAGCCGTAGCTAATCAATTGGTCAATGGTTGCCGATGAGGCCTCACGGGTCAACACTGACCATAGATCGTCGTCATTATCGTCTTTATCGGCAACGGCGCCGCCGTCTGTGGTCATCGATTGACGATCGGGTCTTTTAATAGCCATTGCCCGTAAGCGGACGGGTCGGTCACTAAATCCTGTTGTCCTGTTGGCCAACAACGACACACAAATGTACGGTATGTTTAGTGGTCACTGGAAAAAAATCAGTGGCCAACCAATCAATCAATCGGTGTTTTAATTGTATAAAACACTTAATGTTTTATTTTGTTTCACTTATTGTTTGTTTGTTTATTGTTTTGATTTCAATAATAATAATAATAACAATAATTATTGTCAATAAAAATATTTAATACAATGTATAAGTTTGTATTTATTATACAAATATATATATATATATACAGTATATACCGTTTATATATATATTATTATAATTGATTAGTAAATACAAGTTATTTATTTACATATATATATATATATATATATATAGACTACACTGAAATTTATCATTGATTTTAAGTTAAAAAATTTTAAAAACATATCAAAACTAAATCATTTTAAAAAAAATAATAATAATAATAAAATAAAATACACAAAATTAAAATATTAATAGTACTATACTGTACAAAGTATTTATAAGCTTATTTGGTAATAAAATAAGCTATATTTAGATTTGTTTAACCTATATAGTATATACTTTATATATAAGTTATATGTATGATATATATATATATGTAAACAATGTATATGTATTTATATATAGGTGCTATAAATATTAGCATATATATATACAATGATAATAAATTTTTAAAAAAAATCCAATTTGGTCTCTTTATAGGCAACTTATTGGATGCATAATTGGACAAAATATAAAAAGTAATCTTATAATGAGTTTTTCCTATATATATATATATACAGTATATATACAGAATATGCTAAATAAATTGTAAAGTATTTAAAAAGATATATTTAATTTTATATTATTTAATATTATTTTTTTTTTAATTTTAAAATACAAGCGGAAGTTCTGTATAAAGCCGGGCACTGGCCTCATAACTGTCCATATGATCATCAGCACTGATACCATCCATAGTATACAGTGTCAATTTTTGTCATTGATTATCATCCACATCAGCACCGGTAAGTTGGTTGAGAGTGTCAGTCAATTGGCTTATAGTTATCATCGGCTGTTCATAGCATAACCTTATATAAACTTATTCTGTAGTTCCCTATAATATAATAACACAATAGTATACTGTATAACACCGGCACCGGTAGTCGTTGAGTATAATCATCGACAGGTTTTTAATATGTCGCCGCCGTCTTTCGATAGGACGACACCCGAGAGTTTGACGGCCGGAGCCAATGAATACTTGATCTCCCGGTAGGTCTGTTGGCTTCGGAAATACCCGATTGTCGTATAGTTTTGCTCTTTCGATCCAAAAAATTATTAATTAATTATTAAACAACAAATAATAATAATAATAATAATATGTAATTACTATATATCTAATGATTTGTAATTAAAAATTTTATTTATATGTTAAAACAAATTACTACAATAATTATTAAATAATTAATAATTAAATAAATTAAAATAATTTTTAAAAAAATATATTATTAATTAATCATAAATATTTGAATAAACTTTTGATACAAAATACATTGTAGAATAATCGGTAATATTGTTTAGTTGTCCACCAGATTTAGGCCAATCACACTCAGCGGCCGTTTTAATGGGGCTATCGTTGTTAAGATAGTCGATAACCATACCGGTTGTACTATCGAAACGTTTATTATGATAGTGTCGAGCTTCTGGTGATAATAGGGCGCATATTTCGGTCGACCATTTTTTAAGATAACTATACATATAAAGTAATTTTTTTTTAAATATTAACTCAACAACAACAACAACAAAAATCATGGTCATCATAATAAGTAACCCCCCTCGCCCTCCCCCATCCCCCAAAAAATTACCAATTAAACATAGATACCGTTAGTTTAGTATCCGATTTAATACCGTCGGCCATAACATCGTATAGTTTATTACCGATTGCCAGGATTTGCTGTGATTTGTTACGATATTCGGCCAACAGTTCGGGTTTATCGGCCAACTCTTGACAAACTTCGGGTTCTTTTGTTTCTTTGACAAACATAAGTATCAGACGCTTTAGTTTTGCCGTTTTGGTCACACATGTGACCACATCGTTGGTAAACTTTAATAGTTCTGTCAGTTTGTATCTAAAAAAACAATTAAAATTAAAATAATTAAATAAAAATAATTAAATTATTAGATTTATTTATTATTATTATTATTATTATTATTTGTTTACTTATCGCACAAATCTAACTGTCCATCTTTGGTTAGCGGATACGGGTTATGGCGGTCGGCTAAAGTCAATTGATCGAAATATTTGTTAACCTTGTCCTCCATTATAGGATCGCATTCCCGATTACCCGATAAGCTTACGACTAGTAAATTAAAATTAAAATATTTATTATATAAGTTTTTAAATACTTGTATAAATATAAATTATTTTTTATATCTATATACAGTATAACTAAAATAAAACAAAAGTAATTATTAAACTAAAATTTAATAAATTAATAATTTAGTTACTAAATAGTTATTTTGAATTTTTAATATAGATTTTAAAGTATAATTGAATATTAAACTTAAAATGTGATTAATTAAAATAATAATATTATTATTATTGTATACAATACCGTTTAATGTAACTAACAATACTATATGTAAAATCATTATATATGATGATAACAAATTAAATAAATTAATATTATAAATAAAATTTTATAATATATATACTTTTTAAAAAATATATAAAAACTAATACTAAAAAAATTGAGTATTGGTTTATTTTATTAAAAATATTTTTATTTATAAATGATTAATAACTATATTCTAAAACTATTTAAATAATAACTGCAAAATTTATAACTAATAAAAAAATAGACTGAAATTTATAGGAATTTTTTTTTAAATATTAATTATCATTTAATTTCATAAAATTTTATTAACAAATCATTTCATAATATTAAATATTTAATTGGTTAAGTTTTTAGTAAGTTTTTAGTAAGTTTTTAGTAAATTTTTAGTAAGTTTTAATATTTAATAAAATAAACTAAATGCTAAATATTTCTAATAATTTTTCCAAAAGAAAATTTCTAGTAATTTATATACATATATATATATACTGTATATAATTCACACATATGTTAATCAATTATTTAATTGAATTTTGTATTTTTTGATTAGAGATTTTAAATGTTTTTTTTTTGTATTAAATAACAAATACTTGATATATATTTATAATAAATTAACAAAAAAAAATCCGGGACAATTTTTTTTTAAAAAAAACCATTATATTAATGTGTAAACATATTATATAATTTTTTTTAGTAATAATAATTTTTGCAGTTATTATTTAATTTATTTTTTTTGAATATAGTTATCAACATATTTATAAATAAAAACATTTTTAATAAAATAAAACTAATACTCTATTTTTTAGTATTAGTTTTTAGTATATATATATATATATTAAAGTATTAAATTAATTTATTTAATTTTTATCATCAATTAATACTCTATATATAAATAATGATTTTACATATAGTATTGTTAGTTACATTAAACGGTATTGTATATAATAATAATAATAATTTTATTACTTTAATTAATCAATTTTTAAGTTTAATTTTCAATATATAATATATATATATATTAAAAATTCAAAATAACTATAAATTAGTTTTTTTAATAATTAGTTTTGTTTTATTTTAGTTATAGTCTAGATATAAAATAATGTATATATATATAAATATTTAAAAACTTATTGTATATTGTAATATTGTTAGTTACATTAAATGGTATTGTATATAATAATATTTAAATAACTATTTAGTTAAATTATTTTTTTTTCTAAATAATTAGTTTTGTTTTATTTTAGTTATTATACACTCATGGACAAAACAATCTGTGAAAGGTTTGAGACCTAATAACTTAAAAACTACTGGATCAATTTTGATAAAGTTTATGGTAATGATAGAGTATATAATCTAGTTTATATAAAATTAAAAAAATTGTTTAAAAATAATATAAGTAATTTTTAAAAATTAATTAAAAAATGAAAAAATGTATGGAAGCAACCCTTAATGCTGGTAACGATATTAATGAAAAACACAAAACTTTTCACTTATATTATTATAACTTTTAAATGACTAGTTTTAAAAAATTAATATTAATTATATTAAATCTTGATTATATACAGTACATTTACTACTAAACGGTATCAAAATTGATCCAGTAGTTTTTAAGATATTAGGACTCAAACCTTTCACAGATTGTTTTGTCCAATACTGTATATAAATATATATTTATATAAATAATACCATATTGTATATTTATTATAAGTATTTAAAAACTTATATATATTATATTTTTGTTTTAATTTACTTAACTTTTTTCTCTCAATTTACTAGTCGTAAGCTTATCGGGTAATCGGGAATGCGATCCTATAATGGAGGACAGGGTTAACAAATATTTAAATCAATTGACTTTAGCCGACCGCCATAACCCGTATCCGGTAACCAAAGATGGACAGTTAGATATTTGCGATAAGTAAACAAATAATAATAATAATAATTTAATTATTTTTATTCAATTATTTTTATTTTAATTGTTTTTTAGATACAAACTGACAGAACTATTAAAGTTTACCAACGATGTGGTCACATGTGTGGCCAAAACGGCAAAACTTAAGCGTCTGATACTTATGTTTGTCAAAGAAACAAAAGAAGCGGAAGTTTGTCAAGAGTTGGCCGATAAACCCGAACTGTTGGCCGAATATCGGGACAAATCACCAAAAATGCTAGCAATTGGTCAAAAACTATACGATGTTATGGCCGACGGTATCAAATCGGATACTAAACTAACGGTATCAATGTTTAATTGGTAATTTTTTAGGGGTGGGGGATAGGTGGGTGGGGGGTGGGGTGGGGGGTTAATTATTATGATGACCATGATCATTATGTTTTTGTTGTTGTTGTTGTTAATATTTTAAAAAAAAAATTAATTTATATGTATAGTTATCTTACAAAATGGTCGACCGAAATATGCGCCCTATTATCACCAGAAGCTCGACACTATCACAGTAAACGATTTGATAGTACAACCGGTATGGTTATCGACTATCTTAACAACGATAGCGGCATTCAAACGGCCAGTGAGTGTGATTGGCCTAAATCTGGTGGACAACTAAACAATAATACAGATTATTCTACAATGTATTTTGTAGCTAAAGTTTATTCAAATATTTATGATTAAAAAAACTAAATATTTATTTTCAAAAAAAAATTATAAAAAACATAAATAAAAATAAAAATTATTGTAATGATTAGTTAGTTAATTTGTTTAACATAAATAAAAATTTTAATTACTAAGCATTAGATACATAGTAATTATATTTTATTATTTTATTAATTATTATTAAATATAATCAAAAAATACTCTATCTATTTATACTGTATAACTTATATGTTATATAATAATAATTTTATTATTTATTTATTTATGTAACTATTATTTTATTGTATTATAATTTTACTAAATAAATAATTATATATATATTTATTAAAATAGATGTATGTTATTTATTATATAACATAATTTATATATTTTTTTTCTTTGAAAAAAATTAATTAATAAAAAATTCCCTAAACTTTTAAAAATATTAATATTATAACTACAGGTAAATACTATATTTTAATTAAGTAATTAATAAATAGGCGATAATTTTATGTTTCGTATTATTTATTTATTTATTTTTTCTATACTTATATATGGCTACTAATTAATTTTAATTTAATTAGTTAGTTTACTTTATTATTAGGTTAGTTATTAAATATATACCAGTGCTTAGACCTTGAGCTACTAAATGAGCTACTATTACTAAATGAATTGGATATATTTTAGCCATTATTTTTTGGTGATAATTATCATCACTATCTGTCTATACAATTATTATGTCAATTCACAGGTAATTAATATCACCACAAAAAACAAACATAATTATATAATACTAATAATAATAATAAAACACTTTTTTTTTCGTTTGTTTTGTTTGTTGGGATTCATTAGAAGGCACCGATATGTCTGAGCCCGACGCTCGACACCGCCGACCATATGGCCAACAACTCGGTCCGACTATATAAGGGCAACCAATACTGGGATCTGATAGGACTGCCCGATAGGGTTGGGTTTCTCAGGTCACCCAAACAGCAGCCGATTGTTTGGGAAAATTTTGGCAAACTATCCCATCGGACACATGTGGTGTCGTGTTTTACCGGCAATCGCAGGGGTTATGTCTACAAGTTTGAGGGCAACCGATTGTGGGCGTGGTCAACATCGGCTGCCCAATGGATTGGCGGCAAAGATGGCCAACAGTTTAAGCTGATGCCTACCGATGCTGACCCCACCAACGGGTTTGACATTGTCTTTCATAACGGTTTGAAAGACAATCCACAGCTGATAGCTATGATTGGCAATAAAGTAATGATTTTAATTTAATTTTTAATAATAATAATAATTTTGTTTTTAAAAAGTTAATTAATTAGTAGTTTATAACAATAAGGGTTATAATAATTAATTGCTAATTATTATTGCTAATAATTTTAGTTTATTTTTTTTTTATTTTTACAATTATTAGGTATACTATTATTCGACAAAACAATATTACATAACACTGGCCGAGGATACCGAAGCAAGCGGTCATCCAAACGGTAAATACGGAGAAAATTTCCCGACGGGTGTGGACGCAGCCTTTTCGTGGCCATCGGACGACGGAAACGGTTATTTGATTTTCTTTTTCAAAAAAGACAAATACTGTTTCAGAAAAGATAAGCTCGAATCGGGAAAAGAGGTTTTATTTATTTTTTTAAATTAATTTTTTAATTTTTTTGCTGAAAAAATTTTTTGATAATAATTTTTCTCTCATTTTTTGTTTAAACAGTGCGATGAATGGCGTGATTCACGGGAACTGTTTGGTTGTAATAATTAATTGTGTTTCGGGAAAAATGTTCGGGAATTTGTTGTCAACACTACTATTATAATGTATGAGTTTAAAAATAAATTAAATATTTTTCACAAATTTTACCTGATTATATTATATTTAACTATAAATGATATTGATTAATAAGTAACAATAAAATAATTATTTGAAAAATATTTATTATAAACAAACAAATATATTAACAATTAAAATGATAACAATTATGATATGTTTCATGCTTTTATTATATCAATTCAAAAAAAAAAATAAAATAAAAACTTAAACAAATTGTTATTACATAATATGTAATACATATTATCATTAATTAATTTAATACGATATATGTTTATTATCTGTTTTATCCCCATAATTGTCAAAAAAATAAAATAAAACAATAGTCTCATTGAAATTGAATTTATTGTACAATTTAAAAAAATAATGTCAAAAATTATATTGCAATCATATAAACACAGGTTATATGTTATATTATTTTGTATTAATAATATCCAGATAATGATAATAATTAACAATTATATCTATCTGTCTATCTGTCTATCTGTCTATCTGTCTATCTGTCTATCTGTCTATCTGTCTATCTGTCTATCTGTCTATCTGTCTATCTGTCTATCTGTCTATCTGTCTATCTGTCTATCTATCTGTCTATCTATCTATCACTGGTATTAACAATAACACAAACACATACCTATCATATATACTGTAGATCATCAGTACTATACATACCATCGGTGGCGACAGCGTTAATGATAATGGCATACAATTGGCAGACAAACCGTTATCTACGACAACAACAACAATGGTTTTACAGATCAAGTAGTAGTAGTTTGTCATCCGATAGGTGGCCGCTAAGATCGGCTAAACTATTGTCGCCGGACATTGACATCGACTACATTAGTAAGCGATGTCTGGACAGTGTATGTCTGTGTGTACCCGAAACCTATTATCGTCATCCGCGGGACAAATCTGTACGATTTGGTAGCGGATTTCGTGTCCGCGACGTCAGCGAAGTTCTGGTTGTGACCAACTGTCATGTGGTCAGCGGTTGCAACACAATACTGGTACATATGTGCTACAATGGACGCCAGTGCGGTATGTATGGCCGGGCGGCTTATGTAGAGCCGCACATCGATATGGCACTAATCAGGTTTGCGTGGCCACCAGTGGACAATAACTGGCAACCGATACCGTTGGCCACTACTCATGGACGACCGCCAATTGGCGAACCGATTGTTGCATTGGGAGCGTTCAGTACATTCATCACTTGCAGCCACAATGGCATTATCACTGCCGATCAGATCACGCTAGATATGGCCGACTTTCAGCGGGTAATCAATCCCATAACCACTGATTCCGAGTATCGGCCAATGGTTATGCACTCGTCAAGTGTAATATCGGGTTTTTCTGGCGGTCCATTGGTCAACGCCGACGGTAATGTGGTAGCCTTAAACGCTATGCGCAGCGGTTATGGCCGCAACTATGGCCAATCTGTCGATGAAGTTATCGGTAATTAGAGAGAGAGAGAGAGAGAGAGAGAGAGAAACTAATAAACTAAATGATTAATTAATAAATTTATAATTATTTTTTTTTTTTGGATAAAAGAGTTTATCGAAAGAGCAAAACTATACGACAATCGGGTATTTCCGTGGCAACAGACCTACCGGGAGATCAAGTATTCATTGGCTCCGGCCGTCAAACTCGGTGTCGTCCTATCGAAAGAAGACGACATATTTACCGTCGAGGATATACTCAACGACTCCCGGTGCCGGTAAACTAACCAATAATTTAATTATTCAATTATTAAAAGTAGTATTAGTTATATATATATWTTTTTTTGTTATTATTATATAGTGAACTACAGAACAAGTATATATTGGGTATCAATGAACAGCCGCTGATAACTATACGCCAATTGACTGACGCACTCAACCAACTTACCGGTGCTGATGGGGATGATGTGGATGATAATCATAGACAAAAATTGACACTGTATACTATGGATGGTATCAGTGCTGATGATATGGACAGTTATGAGGCCAGTGCCCGGCTTTATACAGAACTTCCGCTTGTATTTTAAAATTAAAAAAAAATAATATTAAATAATATAAAATTAAATATATCTTTTTAAATACTTTACAATTTATTTAGCATATTCTGTATATATATATATATATATATATATATATATATATATATATACTGTATATATATAGGAAAAACTCATTATAAGATTACTTTTTATATTTTGTCCAATTATGCATCCCATAAGTTGCCTATAAAGAGACCAAATTGGATTTTTTTAAAAATTTATTATCATTGTATATATATATATGCTAATATTTATAGCACCTATATATAAATACATATACATTGTTTACATATATATATATATCATACATATAACTTATATATAAAGTATATACTATATAGGTTAAACAAATCTAAATATAGCTTATTTTATTACCAAATAAGCTTATAAATACTTTGTACAGTATAGTACTATTAATATTTTAATTTTGTGTATTTTATTTTATTATTATTTTTTTTAAATGATTTAGTTTTGATATGTTTTTAAAATTTTTTAACTTAAAATCAATGATAAATTTCAGTGTAGTCTATATATATATATATATATATATATGTAAATAAATAACTTGTATTTACTAATCAATTATAATAATATATATATAAACGGTATATACTGTATATATATATATATATATTTGTATAATAAATACAAACTTATACATTGTATTAAATATTTTTATTGACAATAATTATTGTTATTATTATTATTATTGAAATCAAAACAATAAACAAACAAACAATAAGTGAAACAAAATAAAACATTAAGTGTTTTATACAATTAAAGCACCGATTGATTGATTGGTTGGCCACTGATTTTTTTTCCAGTGACCACTAAACATACCGTACATTTGTGTGTCGTTGTTGGCCAACGACAAGGACAACAGGATTTAGTGACCGACCCGTCCGCTTACGGGCAATGGCTATTAAAAGACCCGATCGTCAATCGATGACCACCGACGGCGGCACCGTTGCCGATAAAAACGATAATGACGACGATCTATGGTCAGTGTTGACCCGTGAGGCCTCATCGGCAACCATTGACCAATTGATTAGCTACGGCTATAACAATACGGCGACAATCCTATCGATAGATTGCGATAAAGATTTCCAAGTAATGACCGATATATTACTTGGCCAGCGGTCGCTGATTCGGCGATTGGTCAATGACTATCAGAAAACCGTGTCCACAACAACAACCAATGATCATCGTATGGTTAACGTCGGCGATGACAGTGATCGTCATCAGCGGCCGTCAACAGTCATGACCGCAGATGACAACGAGGAGAATCGCCGACGACTACGACAACAACAACAACAACACGAGTTAGTTGTTAAGCAACTGACGGATGAGTTGGATGTTAAGGATCGGCAAATCAAAACATTGGAAACTAAATTGTCTGTACTGTCCGATGCCAGTGAAGCCGGACGACTGGTCATCAAAACGTTGAAAACCCAACAAAATGAACGCCAAGCGGCCATAACGGCAGCGGTCGACAAGTTTGACAATAGTTACCAGAGTTTGAGATCAGTGTTGTTGGAGTCGGCGGTGACGACGGCGGACAACAACAGCAATACATGTGTTGTTAGTCGCCGACGACACTCTTCACCGATACCGACGTCAAGTATATTATCGCCGCAGCCGTTGATGGCTAGAAAGTCAGTGCCATCGTCATCGTCGACCACGACCTCCACAGTCGCCGCCGCACTTATAGCTTGCGTTGAAAGTACTTGCGAAGTAAATGTCGATAGATTGGCGGCGACGGCTACTCAACCATTACCGCAGAATATCATCGACAACAACAACAACAACAACAGCGAAACAGTTGTTGCAATGACTACGACGATGACGACGACTACGGCCACTACAACTGATGGTAATAATAATAATAATAATAATAATAATAACAGAAAAGAAAATAAACGAAGAAAGCCGTTGCCGTTGTCGTCGCCTCCGACTCATGAAAAGCGGACGAAAAACAGCGACAATAGGCAAAGCATGACGAAGAAGAAGAAGTTGAAGAAGAATCGCACGATAAAAATGGTACGAAAAAAGACGAAAAACAACAAACATATGCTCATCGACGGAGACATCGATGACGACTTATCTACCGCCACAACCGATACCACCACTACTACTACCACTACCAATAGGATTGTCTCTCTATCGTTACCACAAACAAAAAGAGGTAATACAGTCACCAAAAATTAATTATTTTTATCGTAAACTCTTATATATATTTATATATATAGAATATCAGCAATTAATAGACGATATACGGGCCAACAGGTCGTCGCTGATATGTCCGATATGTGCGAAACAATTTCCTAAAAATTCAAACCTCGTCCGACACGTGAAGTCACATTTCAAACAGTTTCGGCCGCGTTTTACCTGTCGTACGTGCGGCAAACAACTGCTTAATCGGGACAATCGTCACGATGTCAAGTGTGCGGAACAAGTGGCCAAACTGACGGCACAGCCAGGTATCGGTATTATCAATGTCGTCGGGTGTAGCGGTGGTGATGATGACGATAATAATAATAATAACACGCACGCGCTTCCACTAGCAATTTAATGATTTAGTTGGTAATACCTGTAAAAAGCTTACACTAAAATAGTGGTAATAACACGTGTTTTTTTATCGGTAGTTTTAAAATACATAATAATAATAATCATAATACAGTACAATATCTTAATTAATATTTTTTGTTTAAATCATTAAAAAATATATCACTACTAAATAAATTACATAATAATTTTTATCACTGTTTCATATGTTTTTTTTTTATTATTATTATTTAGACGATTATATAATAAATATATATATATATAACTTTAAAAAGCAATAAAAATTATTTTTTTTATTGATAAAAACTGGTAATTGATTTTTTTGTAATTAACAAACAACAGGTAATTGACTATAATGTATATTAAAATACAACAGGTAGATCTGTATAAAAGCGGGCACCGGCCTGGTAACTGTCCATTTCAATACTATCCAAACCATCCATTATAATTAATGTCACAATTTGTTGATTATCATCAGCACCGGTAAGTTTGTTGAGTGCGTCAGTCAATTGGCGTACAGTTTTTAGCTGCTGTTCATTGATAGCCATTATAAACTTGTCGTATAGTTCCCTAAATAAGGTATATATATATATATATACAGTATATACCCGTATATTGGTTATACTAATACTAATAATTAAATTGAATGATAATAGTTTATTACCGGCACCGGGAGTCTGGCAGTATATCATCGACTGTAAATATGTCGCCCTCTTTCGATAGGACTATACCGAGTTTGACGGCCGGAGCCAATGAATACTTGATCTCCCGGTAGGTCTGTTGCCACGGAAATACCCGATTGTCGTATAGTTTTGCTCTTTCGATAAAATCTTTTTTTTTTCAAAAAATATTTATAGACTATTAGGTTATCTGTTATGAAAAAAAAACATTATCTTTAGTTTACCTAATATTTCATCGGCTGATCGGCTATACTGATGGTTAAAAAAGCCGGACATAGTGTTCATCGCTATCACATTACCGTCGGCATCGATGAGTGGACCGCCTGAAAAACCTGGTAGTATAATAGCGGTATGCATAATAACTGGCTGGCCTTCGGTATCGGTCTGAATGGTACCGATTTCTATATGAAAGTCGACCATATCTAGCGAAACCTGATCGGCGTTTACAATGCCATCAGTACTTATGGCAATCTTCGGCTGCATAGTTCCCATCGCTAGAACCGGATCGCCAATAATCGGCGACCGTTTTCTAGCCAATGGTATCGGTTGCCAATAGTCTACCGGTTCCGAAAATCTGATGAGTGCCATATCGTTGTGCGGCTCTACATAAGCTGCCCGACCTGTCATAGGATACTGGCGATAGTCTTGGTAGTAGAGATGGACCAGTATATGACTGCATCCGCTAACCACATGATAGTTGGTCACAACTATGAGTTCCTGATCATCGGCAACACGAATACCTGTACCGTTATGACACCATTTATCTAATGGATTCAGCCATGAATAGGACTGTGCATAACATTTGCATACACTATCCAAACACTGTCGTCTAATATAGTCGATATCAATCTCAGATAATAGTTTAGCCGATCTTATACGCCACCAATCGGATGACAAACCACTACCACCACCACTACTACTACTACTTGATGTGTGAAACCATTGTTTTAGACACTGTTGTTGTTGTCGATGATTACGGTTTGTCTGCCAATTGTATGCTATTATCATTACCGTTGCCACCGACGGTATGTATTGTACAGGTAGTGGTAATCTAATGATTGTTGATATTTATTATTATTATTTAGACAATAAACTAATAGATATTTGATACTAATTAATTAATTAATTATCTATATTATCGATCTGATTGACTAATTATAAAATAATAACATTACCTATGTTTATATGATTGTAATATTGTTGACCATATTTTCGACATTACTTTAATATAAAAAGTAAATTCAATTTCAATGATTATTTTATTTTATAAAAAAAAAATAGAATATTAATGGTAAATAAAGTTATATATTGTATACTATATACAGTAAATAATAAATTTTGTTTTATTAAATTCAAATAAAATAATCGCATGAAATCAAAAAATTAATTTTGTTATAAATCTAAAATATAAATATATTGATTTTTATATTTACTAAATAAAACGGTATGTTTGATATATAATTGTATCTCTAAAAAAAAATTAAATAAATTATTAATATATATATAAAAAAAATAATTACAGTATTTATATTAAACAAAAACAGTTTATTAATTAATTAAATTTTTTAATAACCGTTTATAAATTTTATTTGTAACCAATATTTACTATACAAAGTTTGAATTTCAAACATATATTATAATAATAATAGACTATTGTTGGGAATGTTATGCATACGATCGGCGGCTGCAGCGGTGGTGATGATAATGGCATACAGTTGGCGGACAAACCGTAATCATCGTCAACAACAACAATATAAACAACTGTTCAGACACTGGTCTGATCCATGGCTGCTAAGATCATCAGAGATGACTGCTGCTGACGGCATCGATATTGTCGACGTTAGGCAAAAATGTTTGCGATCAGTGGTCCGATGTTATCCGATCTCTATCCACAACAGTGACCGTATATGCGGTATCGGTACTGGTTTTCGTGTGGTCAACAACAACAACGGCAGCGGCGGGAAAGAAATGTATATTGTGACCAACGCTCACGTAGTCAAAGGCGCACATTTTGTCCAATTAGCTATGATTTACCGAAACCAATGGCAATATATTGACTCGACTGTTGTCTATGTGGAACCGAACCGGGATTTGGCACTGATTAAGCTGAGCATCGATGAATCGGTCGATACTGACGGCTACACACCTGTACCTATACTAACCAACAACCAAACAGCGAATTTCGGCGAACCTGTAGTCACGTTTGCCACCAATGACTGGAACTATCGGTGCCATTCGGGCCGTGTCCAGGCCCTGGGTGTCAATGTTAATCAAATTTTGCCCGACTATGTGGTCTCAATGTTTTTCACTGGTGCCGCCGCATCACTGTTGGTTCATTCGGCGCCTACTGTTCCCGGTTTTTCTGGCGGTCCATTAGTAGTGGCCGCTGGTCCCCGAATAGCCGGTGCTAACGACATTTCCAGCCAATTTGGCAGCTATTATAGTATAGCGTCCAATGAGATAACAGGTAAAACCATGTATGTGTGTGTATGTGTGTGTGTGTGTGTGTGTGTGTGTGTGTGTGTGTGTGTGTGTGTGTGTGTGTGTGTGTGTGTGTGTGTGTGTGTGTGTGTGTGTGTGTGTGTGTATGTGTGTGTGTTATCTGTGATATTGAAACTGTTTTTTTAAAAATCATATTAACTGTACTATATGTATATAGAGTTTATTGAAAATGGTATCAAATATTACAAAACGGTGTTCCCCTGGAAATTCATGTACCGTGAGATCAAGTATTCAACGGTTATTGCTGGCAACGGGCCATCAGCAGCGGCAGTAGTAGTAGTCAAACTCGGCATTGTCCTATCGAAACATATAAATTGGTTTATTGTTGAGGACATACTACCCGAATCCCTGTGCCCGTAAATATATAATATATTATAATATACTTATTACTGTAATTATTATTTGTTTGTTTGCGTCTCAGAGAACTTTACCAAAAATATATTATAGCCATCGATGACCAACCGTTTACTAATATCAGTCAATTAACTGCTGCTGTTGTACTGACTACCGGTGCTTATAATAATAATAATAATAGAAAAGAGTTAAAACTAACTATAATAGACTTAAACGATAACAAACGTATGGACACACCATTGATGGTTAAGTGCCAACATTATAGTCAACTACCTGTTGTTTGTTAATTACAAAAAATCAATTTTTATCAATAAAAAATATAATTTTTATTGTTTTTTAAAGTTATATAAATATATTTGTTATATAATCGTCTAAATAATAATAATAAAAAAAAGACATATGAAACAGTGATAAAAATTATTATGTAATTAATTTAGTAGTGATATATTTTTTAATGATTTAATGAAAAAAATATTAATTAAGATATTGTATTATTATTACTGTACTGTATTTTAAAACTACCGATAAAAAAACACGTGTTATTACCACTATTTTAGTGTAAGCTTTTTACAGGTATTATCAACTAAATCATTAAAGCGCGTGCGTGTCATTATTATTATTATCGCACGCATCCATATCGTGCGTATCATAATCATCGTCATCATCATCACCATTACCGCTACACCCGACGACATTGATAATACCGATACCTGGCTGTGCCGTCAGTTTGGCCGCCGCACACCTGGCCTCGTGACGATTGTCCCGATTAAGCAGTTGTTTGCCGCACGTACGACAGGTAAAACGTTGGCGAAACTTTTTGCAATGTGTCTGAACGTGTCGGACAAGTTTGCTATTATTGGGAAACTGTTTCGGACATATCGGACATATCAGCGACCTGTTGGCCAGTATTTCGTCTATTAATTGCTGATATTCTATATATAAGAGTTTACGATAAAAATAATTAATTTTTGGTGACTGTATTACCTCTTTTTGTTTGTGGTAACGATAGAGAGACAATCCTATTGGTAGTGGCAGTAGTAGTGGTTGTATCAGTTGTGGTGGCGGTAGAAAAGTCGTCATCGATGTCTCGGTCGATGAGCATATGTTTGTTGTTTTTTGTCTTAAGTATCTCTATATTCTTCTTCTCCTTCTTCTCCTTCTTCTCCTTCTTCTTCAACTTCTTCTTCTTCGTCGTCGTCGTCCTTTGCCTATTATCGCTGTTTTTCGTCCGCTTTTCATGAGTCGGTGGCGACGACCGGACAGTCGTCCGTTTTTTCCCTTTATTTTCATTTCTGTTATTATTATTATTATTACAATCAGTGTTAGTCGTCGTAGTCATTGCAACAACTGTTTCGCTGTTGTTGTTGTTGTTGTTGTTGTTGTTGTCGATGATATTCTGCGGTAATGGTTGAGTGGCCGTCGCCGCCAATCTATCGACATTTACTTCGCAAGTACTTTCAACGCAAGCTATAAGTGCGGCGGCGACTGTGGAGGTCGTGGTCGACGATGACGATGGCACTGACTTTCTAGCCATCAACGGCTGCGGCGATAATATACTTGACGTCGGTATCGGTGAAGAGTGTCGACGGCGACTAACAACACATGTATTGCTGTTGTTGTCCGCCGTCGTCACCGCCGACTCCAACAACACTGATCTCAAACTCTGGTAACTATTGTCAAACTTGTCGACCGCTGCCGTTATGGCCGCTTGGCTTTCATTTTGTTCGGTTTTCAACGTTTTGATGACCAGTCGTCCGGCTTCACTGGCATCGGACAGTACAGACAATTTAGTTTCCAGTGTTTTGATTTGCCGATCCTTAACATCCAACTCATCCATCAGTTGCTTAACAACTAACTCGTGTTGTTGTTGTTGTTGTCGTAGTCGTCGGCGATTCTCCTCCTCCTTGTCTGCGGTCATGACTGTTGACGGCCGCTGATTACGATGACCGTCATCGCCGCCGACAGCCATACAGTGATCATTGGTTGTTGTTGTTGTTGTGGACGCCGTTTTCTGATAGTCATTGACCAATCGCCGAATCAGCGACCGCTGGCCAAGTAATATATCGGTCATTACTTGGAAATCTTTATCGCAATCTATCGATAGGATTGTCGCTGTATTGTTATAGCCGTAGCTAATCAATTGGTCAATGGTTGCCGATGAGGCCTCACGGGTCAACACTGACCATAGATCGTCGTCATTATTATACTCATCGGCAACGGTGGCGGCGACGGCGCCGCCGTCGGTAGTCTTCAATTGACGATCGGGTCTATTAGTGGCCATTTCGTACGCTTATGCGGGTGTCGCGCGACCACTAAATCTTGTTGTCCTATTGGCGGCCAACAACAACACACAAATGTACGGTATATTTAGTTTAGTCACTGAAAAAGTGGTCAATCAATCGGTGTTTTTAATTATTAAAACACTTAATGTTTTTTTTTCACTTATTGTTTAATTAAATTCAAATAATAATAACAACAATAATAATAATAATAATTTAATACAATATATATTATATATATATATATATATATACAGTATATACCGTTTATTGTTAATAACTGTATTGTTAATAATAATTGATTAGTAAATAATAGGTACAGTAAATGTTATTATATATATATATACTGGTCATAAAATATTAGCATATATTAGTATAGGATTATAATAGATGTTTAAATAAATACAATTTAGTCTATTTATAAGCAACTTATTGGGGGTAGTAATTTTTGATCATAATATTGCAAGGGAAGTGGGGTTATCACGGGTATATTTTTACTGTGTACACTCTATGAGTGTTCATCAACCCGTGATGTAAACCCTACTATACTTAAGACTAAGCCCTTACTGTGCCTTGTACGTACCAGCATTATCATCTCTATCGGTGTGTGGCTTAAGGAGCGAGCGGATCTCCTATCACTGGTTGTGTACAAAGCTATGTGTTGTTTTGTGTAGTATTTAGTCGACCGACTGTTTTAGTTTATGCTGTTCCTTGCATAGACTATCCGTATAATACTACCGTACGGATATCCAACTGATTGGTACAAAGTCTAGTTTAAGGTCTGTTTTGGTAAACATGTTTTCCTTGATATCTCCATAACCATTTGTCCTACTGATCTCCAACAAGTACCATTGGCATCAGTACATAAAACCCGATTTCCAGTTCTCGATGACCTTGACCTTGTATAGGTGACCTTGACCTTGGAAATGTGACCTTGACCTTGGACGTGTGACCTTGACCTTGGACGTGTGACCTTGACCTTGGACGTGTGACCTTGACCTTGGACGTGTGACCTTGACCTTAGACATGTGACCTTGACCTTGGACATGTGACCTTGACCTTGGACGTGTGACCTTGACCTTGGACATGTGACCTTGACCTAGGGTCAGTAGGCCAGTTGTAGGCCAGTTGTAGGCCAGTTGTAGGCCAGTAGTAGACCAGTTGTAGGCCAGTTGTAGGCCAGTTGTAGGCCAGTTGTAGGCCAGTTGTAGGCCAGTAGTAGACCAGTTGTAGGCCAGTTGTAGGCCAGTAGGTCAGTGTGACAGTAGACAACGTGTCTAGTGCCTTATTACTATATCTGAGTTAACCTATCATAGCGCTTACGTTTGCATATACTATACTTATAAGTACACTTTACCGCTGTTTTGTCATAGTCATATACTAATACTATCCTTATAATAGAATCGTAACTATAGTATACAAAATACATTATATCTCTATTAACATTATGTCTATAACAATAATTTACTAGTACTGTAAATTAAATAATACAGTCACTATACTTATTTTAATATCTTTATAGTACAACTAACTATGACTATGTTAATAATAGGCATATACTAAGGCTATGCGTATAACACTTTAATACTTTAATACTAATAGTATTACTAACTATTAAATAGGTTACTCAACAATAAGGTTCACTCAACGTCGTCACGTGTCAACACTAATCTCTGGTCGGACCGGTCAGATCCTACCGTGTAGCGGACACAGTACCGGAGTTCCCTTCTATAGAGTATTCGCTTACGTAATAAGAGGACGACTCCCATCGGCGCGGCGTTCGATTGCTATCCCTTATGTTAACTGTATCCTATAGAACAGTTGGGCCTATAGGACCAATGGGCCTGTAGTGAAGCCATATGTGATCCATAATACCATCCATGACGTAATCCATGGTGTACTTCCATGACTCAATCGATAATGTTATCCATGATGTAATCTTTCTTGTGGTCAGCTTTCATCAGTATAACATCGATAGTGTAATCCATGACGCACCAGCAATCCAAGACCACTAGCCGCGACGAGTAAGTAATACACACAAAGTAATATGCAAATACTTTTATTTCATCTTATAAACAGTTATACATTGTAGCACTCCAAGAGAACTCCGAAGAGATCTCCGAAGAGAACTGAGAACTGATCTCAGAAGAGAACCCACTTTGGTGTCTGAAAGACACCTCTATTTATACTAAAGTGTACGTGAGAAATAATCAGGTCGTATTGAGTCAGCTTTAATCCCTGGGCGTAAACAATTCATTTTTCTGTATAACATTTCAATGCATTATTTTAACAGTGAAATACTAAATAAAAATAAAATAAAACTTTGCTTAAAAGTAGGTGTTTACTATTCACTTTTCTGTATAACACTTAAATGCATTTTTAAAAGTGAATTCTAGATTTTAGTATTAAGAAAATATAATTATTTAAATAAAAATAAAACAGCGTTGTGTTAAATTCACTTTAGTAAATTTAAACACAAACAAAAATCACTTTTGTATTGAAATAATTATAGCCTTAAAACACCAATCAGTATAGCATTGAAATGGCAGTGACTACCTATAACACTTCCGCCCCTTCAAGTCTGCATCTGTCCTCAGATGCGTAATTAAAAAATTACGTCTGGTTCATAACTACTCCTCATGTACACAATAGTTTACAATTAATTTTTATAAACTAATTACAAATTTCAAAATTTAAGCTATTTTAATTAATGACGTACATGCAGTCCGTTTGTTTGTTATCGTTGTCTTTTTCATTATTCATTTTATTTATAATTTCTAGTCAACATCTTCATACCCATTATCAACCAATATAATATTCGATTTCTTACTCAGCTTCGTATCGGTTTATTCATTTTATAATAAACCAACTATATTTGATAAATTCACCAATGTCATCTTGCTTTTTCTTATTTATAATAAACTTGTTTTTCATTTGATTCCTTAAATTATGCTTCAATCAGTTTATAAAAGTGGACTATGTTGATAAATTATTTTGTAGTGGTCTTCGTATCGTTATTCATAATAAATCGACTCTATATTCGGTATTTAATACCAATTTCTTTCAATTGCGAATGTCTTGAAATAATATTGCAGTCATCTTCAAGTCATCGATTATTACATATTCACCAGTTTATTTTTCAGAATTTATTATAATTATAAAATCCTAATCCAATTATTTTAAGAATTTAATAAATTTTCAAATATCCATTAACATATATTCTTGGATTATTAAACTTCATTTTAGTTGCTTTAAATGGTTTAGCCAAATAACAGAAATCATCTGTAATACGATTTTGAATTAAGCGTTGGCTTCTTGTGCTTGATTCTTGACCCATATTTGCCAAGGGTGTCGTTTGGTTGACCATTATTATTTATTATTATTTCTTAATAACATTTTTTAATTAACAACTAATGTTAACAATTATCTCTTTATCTCTAACTTTAAATTTAATTAATAATAATCTAAATTTAATTTTTACTAATCACGTTATAGTTTTAACAAATCAAATAGTTTAAAGTTGTGTACGATTATACATTTTCATCTTATATAACTTAGAATTCTAAATAGTGATCACTTGTTTATTCTCATTATATCTCATTTAATTGCCTCTATCGGCGTTCTATTCTCTCAATGTTATGTAATTGCATTGCAAAACTCGACGAGTGAAATTAACTTATTTTTTTAATCATCATCATGGTCTCTAAGCCATGTGAAATCTATATCTTATTGAATTGCCTCTATCGGCGATCTATTCTTCTCACTGTTTTGTTATTCCATTTCAAGACTCGTCGAACGTCACAATTATTTTTATAATTGTCATCTTTAAAATGTCTATCACGTGAAAGTTAAATCTCATTGAATTGCCTCTATCGGCGATCTATTCTTCTCAATGATTTGTAATTGCATTGTAAAACTCGTCGATCGACACAATTAAATTTTTTCTTAATTGTCATCTCGATGGTGTATAAATTTGCCGCTTCTTAATCATGTATGGGCCTACCAATTGGTTCTATTATTAGGTACTAAGACCTTACTCCGAAGGATTGTGTAGAGACACCAAATCTACTCCTTGTGTGTAACATCGCGATGTCAGCGCTATAACGGGATTTATCATCGTTAAACGCATTCATTATATTTCTTTGAACCAATTCTCTTCCATCCTCCAAATAATAATACCAAAAGCAAATACACGCGGTCTTTATTAAAATACGTTTTTTGGTACTAGTCTTCACATCCATATATCGATAAAAATTGCAAAACCCAATTTAAAATATTTTCAGCAATTATATGGTGTTGTATACAAATGGAGGAACTAAGATTTCTTATGAAATCTCCAATGAAGTATCTGACCAACTGTATTATCGTTATGGCGCCATATCACGTCAGAACTTCATCAACAAACCATTTTACTATACTAGGTTTGCACACTTCATCACTGTCTTCATTTTTTTTAATTATGTCAATCATTAAAATCTTCTATTTTGAAATTCCATTTCGGAGGGACGGCCCAATATATCAGCTCCGATTATTTCAAATAATAAGTGGTATCCATCAGCTGCAGCATTTCTTCATTTAACTGACATGACTCAGTTATTTAATAACTTATGATTGACTACACAGTGAGTTCAAAACTTTTTAATTTTCCATGTCATAAAATCCTAATTGAGTTCCGGAATACTCATTGTCATGTTAATCTTTTAGGATTTGTCTTTTAAAATCTCTTAATAATCATGATTATCTTCTTCTATTAAATCTCGTCTGATGAAGCTTCTTTTATTTCTCTTTTGAATCCCATTCATTGTATTTTGAATGTTTTTTCGTGTTTTGATCCCAAAGAAATGTAATACCTTTTATCTAATATGTCAGCAGATATTCATTATGGTTTTTATGTGTGCCAAAATCTGTTAAGACGTCTGAACCATTTCGATATGCCAGTAACCCCAAGTCACATCAAGTGTTTTAAAATAACGAGCGCCTTAAGGCGGTCTAACACTTCAGTGATTCGTCATCCGCAATTTGTCATCTATAGCAATATCGTTGTCTTCTATAATTTATGCTTAATTGTTCTCCACCGTCTTTCTTTGATACCA